CGAAAAATCTGTCACAATAGATGCCTAAACCACTCTACAAAGATACAAATACACCGCTAAACTTCAGAAAGTAAACAAACAAGTAGTGAAGAGAATAGCACAATAAAACCAACAAAACGTGACTTCGTTATCTTTACAAATCCATATCGGCCGAGCGGCTACCAAGCTGAATCATGGCCAGAAGACTGGCTGAAAAAGTCAGACGCTCACAACAAATAAAAAAAATCATAAATAAAAAGGCTTCGTTTTTAACCGTTCAATATTTTCTGTCGGTGATGATAATGACATATTAGGTATATGATTGTGATAGCTCACTGCGGGCGCTCGCTTTGAACTTTGAATTCAATATACTCGAGCAATCCGAATTGAAAGCCCCGTGACAGCGTCAATGAAAATTTTAATTTAAAGCGCTGATTTATCACGTGCTCAAACAAAACATCGTGAGAAAACGTACATATTTTCGAAATAATAACAAAAAAAATATTTCGAAGATATGTGAAGTCTGCCAACCAGCTGTGAGGTGCGGTCGCGTATGCCATAATACCGGCTGTACATAGCAGACTTTTGCCCAGCAGTGGGACTTGTATAGCCGTCACTTTCCTTTTAGAAAATAATATCGAAGATAAAGAGATATGCTAGAGATAATTATAAGAACAGAGTGAAAAGTAAAAAGAAAAATTAATAACTAATGGAAATAGTATGTCTCACACCGACCTATTAAAACAGCATGTAAACCTACTTGGCTTTTCAACCATATTAAAAACAATATATAGATATAAAATGGTCTACTCCTATTATAATACAGATAATGTATACTTAAAACATATCAGCCTCTAAGGCACTTTACATAGTAATTTTATAAAAACACGATCGGATATTTATAGCGACGGTGTTGGCAAATTTGAATAACAGGTATTCGAGTGAACGATTTGTAGCATTTTTTATTTGGGAAGAGATAAAAGTAGCGATACCTACGTAACTAGGATGGAAATAATTTATGGGTCGTCCTTTCCTGTCGAATATCCACCGTATCCACCGTAAGAGATCTTATATATTGAACTGTCCTATGTTTAACGTTCAAGAATCACTTGTATGCTGCATGATGCATTTTAACTATTTGCGTTTATCCCTCCGATTGGAAGGGCAAAATATTAATATAGCGCCTTTGCCTATGTGACCTCGATTTGAGAAAGAAACCCGTCTAGTTAGATACTGTTTCTCCTGATAAATGGGTTCGTAGCTCATCGTAAACCAGCACCACTAAAAAGGCGTTCACTGGGAACACTTGATTGAGGGGCTGATAAATACTGACCTATTACTCCATAAAGTTCAAAATATTTTGGGTTTACTTTCCACCATGAAAGACTGTCTCCAGTAATATTAAGTCTCTTTCCTTTAATATAATCAGCTAACAGTGACTTAACTAAAACATGTCTGTTTATTGGTGAGCATGATTCGCTATTTTCATCGTCACTGTTAGGTGCTGAATTTAGCATATCAACTAACATAGCATTCAAAATTCTGTTTTCATCACGCGCTGCCACAGGAGTGGCCGTGGAGGAAGGTTGGTTCTCGACATTCGTACGTAATTTCAAAAGTCATTTAGTCGAATTTTTTTTATGATAACCATTATTATTTAGAATATTGCTTCATTAAAATTAAAAATTGCTATTACAAAAAACTTATGAATGAAATATAATCTAGTCACAAAATGCAGAAAACAAAAAAAAACTATTTTAAGACGCTGTTCTAATCATAATAGTAAACCGGCGGATTATTTGTCACTTCCACTTGAAATTCCTCTTAATAAGAGGAAGAGGAAGGGGATTTTGTAAAATTTATATTGTGGAAACAGATGAGGAAGAGGATTCGTGAAAAAATGAGGAAATTCCGCATTAAGAGGAAGAGGAATCCTCATCAACCCTAGTCCACCACGCAGCCCCACTGCAGATTGGGGGACTTCACATATCTTCGAAATATCCTTTTTATTATTATTTCGAAAATATGCACGTTTCCTCACGATGTTTTCCTTCACCGTTAAGCACGTGATAATTCAGCACTTGAAATTAACAATTTCATTGGTGCCGGCACCGGGGATCGAACTCAGGTTGCTCGAATATATTGAATTGACGGCGAGCGCGCGGTCACCGAGCTATCACGGCTAAACGAATTTATTAGTAGTTAATTGGCGTCCCGACGTGGCTAATCGGTGTCCGTGGCTCGGGTGGGCAGTATCGCGACGTACGCAATGTGCGGCCGATGACCGGCTTGTGGGCGTCGCCGATAGCGTCTAGGGTGAAATGGTAGCGATATACACGCCGGAGCTAGTGCGATAAGTGACCGTCCATTCTCGCCCAGACGAACGACAAAGGACCGACGCCCGAGGGCCTCGCCCCGTGATGCACACACATACGGAAATTGATGCCCAAGCCCCCCCCCCCCCCCACACACACACACACTCCCTCCCCGGTAAGCCCGGTATCAGGCCAACCGCCCGGCGGTTGTCAAGTGAACGCCGCCGCCCCTGAACATGTACAAAACCCGAGGGCTTTTTAGATGCTTTGGTAAATCTTTAAATAGCTCCGATTACCTCACTCACCGGACGAAAAGTGTGATACTCCCACTTTTATGTCTGGCATAGCACTCCCCTGCCCGTTCGTGCAACAGCAGAAGCCGTTGCGTGGCAGCGTAACGACCAAGCGTTTTACAGTATGCATACGATAATATAAACATCCTGCGCGCGTGATGACTGCTTATATTTGCAACAACAATAAACGTGACGACGTCGAAAGGCCTACAAGCGGATACAATAAATTTTATAACTTTCGTTCAGCAACAGTGCTCGAATAAAAAGTTATAGTTAAAATGTATACGTACAATTGTTTCCGACACGGACTGTCATATTCCATCGAGGATTGTTTATCGAAATGTCTCGCTCTTTTATATGCAACTGGGCTATTACGACATTTTACTTAGCCGCCGAGCAGGTGCTCAAACGGCTCATAAATTTACCACAAATTCAAGTTAAAACTAACCGTTCAAAGTTGAATGTCGAATCACGAGCGTAACTACCGCGGCCGTATAACGGATAACTTGGTTTTTTTTAAAGTGAGAAAGTGGCAAACGAGCTGGCGGTCCACCTGATGTTAAGTGATAACCGCCGCCCATGAACATTTGCAACACCTGTAAGGGTGCAAATTTGTCACCTTTAAATATAGTGGGCCCCGGCTACCTCACTCACCAGACGAAACACAGAAGTGTAACACTTCTACTTTACGCCGGTCTTCCGTGTGGTCGTGGTACTTACAATGCCGGACCTGCCCATTCGTGCAACAGTGAATACTGTTGCATGGCCCTACCACAGTTTTGATTGTTACGACATTTGGTGATTCAAACAAATTATATACACTACGTGAATGCGCGCGTGATGGCGTGGATAGAGTATCCGTTAATCTATTTTGTGTCTGTAAATCTTTTTAATCTGTAAACCGTTTAAGTGTTGCCAGGCGCCGCGAAGCAAGGTCGTCGGGACACTTGACGGCGAGCGGTTTGTTACGGTGGGCAGCAAAAGTTCGCCGACACGTTTGCAATTAGCATAATTGGCCTTTATTAATTTCTTAGCGTCACGCCACTCGTACCTGCTATCGATCCAATATACGTTAAAATTTGTAGAACAAGGCACGAGAATCGCAGTTTCTTACAGAATGACCGATAACCGTGAAAAAAACCAAGTTTCCAGTCTCTTACCGCCAAATAATGATATCTAGTTCGGGTTTTTTGTGTTTTTTTTTCGAACCGTAAAAACTGAATCAATACGTTCTCTTCATTCATTATGAAATGTTTTATATTATATACCAACATAAATACTAAATCCGATTTTCCACAAACCACTTCGAAGTTATAAAATGGAATAACATTGAACATGAACGACCGTTTCTTATCAAACTAAAAAAAAAAATCAATGAATCATTCATACGTCTTAATTATTACGAAATACGCACAGAATGTTTGTCTTCACAAACATCACTAGTCCGATTTCGTTTGAAACGACGTCTAAATTTGAAAACAGAATAAAAAAGGGGGGCGTCCCCTGTCCGCCAGACTGCCAACCGCAACGCCAAATCGCCGACTCAGCACCTCTCGAGTGACACAAAGCACTTTTCCAACAGCGTTCCCGTTCTTATGGTTTACGGTGACGATAAATTGTTGCGTCGATGAGTAATTCAATTTATGATAAAAATGAGTGTTGATAAAAACTTGTAACGCCCGTTTAATTCGACAAACAGCCACGACCATGAGTAAAATGCTTTGGGACTTTTTCAAAATTTATGCAATGTATGTTTGTATGTTTGTTATAAACATCAATGGCTTAGTACTTTTAAGGACAAAATTAAGTAAACAAATAAGCTTGCCGATGATAACCGCTCACAAAGAGTTGCCGACCTTTTATATAAAAACAAGGATACCTTTTTTAAATATATATCTCTCTCTCTCTCACACACTTTTAGTACTTTTCAAAACGTTCAAGATTCGTTAGTTCCCTTAACAATGTAATATACGTCCAAGTTTTAATGTAAAAATGGGTAGATACAGATAATAATTGTTTCGATAGACGATAAGGGTAATCAGCTCGCGGAAAGTCATAGCCCCTATCTGAAATTTAACACACTATATCGGTGATAAAAGAGAAAAAATGAACCACTTCTACGCAATTTGCGTGGTCATTGTGTACCACAAAACCCGACTAAGTATTTCACTTTCGAGTAGAAAAATAGTAAACAAATCCTAGACTATTAAAAAAAAAATAAAGCCTAATACTCGATTAGTCCAGACTTTACTAAACTTTATAGAATATACATATATAACTATATATATATATATTATAAGGTTTCTTATCTGTAAAAATACTCCAGACAAAGTGACAGTTGAAACAACGTTTAATACGTCACTAAAACATCTGAGTGTTGAAGAGAAGGCTCTGGGTGTATATTTCCGGTTACCTGATTGGTTATATCGTAAACAACGATCGCCGCTTGCGCGCCCCGGTAGTACATTGGCGCTAGGCTGTGATACCTGCAACAAACAATTTGAACATAACATTAAATTCAATTTTTTTTTAAACTAGTGGACGACGTGTGGTCGGTTTGAACAACATTAATCTATTCTTAAGTACAATACACAATTAATTATCTCTATCTATTCTTAAGTACAATACACTAAACGAAAGGGTGCATATGCGTGTGCGTGCCAAATACATGTTAGTGTGCGTAATGTTTTCTAATTTTTTTAAAGTATTTTTTATGCATATTTTTAAGAAAATATTAGCATTCTGCACTCCTCTATATAAACTATAATTGTGAGAAATTTCATACTCCTCCGTCCGCAAAAAGGGATACAAAGTTTTTGCTTCACGTATTAATTTTTGTGGATAACTGAACAAAGACTTTCGGCGCCGTGGGATTCAAACCTGCGTCTTCTGGTTTCACGCCCAGACGCTTTACAAACTAAACTAAGAGGCCGATCTTGACATCTACCTAAGTTCGTTACATACGCTACGCTCGTATAGTAACATTGAAACAAAAGTCTATACTAACCATAGACACGACCATGGAATATAAAACCTCCGAGGAGAGTAAACTAATAGAAGCAATTTGAATGTAAGGAATATTGGTGTATATACAAATGGTGAACGATGAAACATCCAAGGAGGTTGTAGTAAATGTAGCAACAATGAAAATGTACCATTTGAGGACTGTCCAGTATAATAGGCGTTGGTAACAAGTGTGAAGTCCACTAATTGCTAAAATGATTGCAAAGGTCGTTTGTTCGCTACCTACTGAGGTAGTTTGAAGCAATGTGATAATTGGAAACATGCTTTCGTCTTTAGCATATGACGTAAGCCCTGCACGGGTTTCGAAAAATAAAGTTTGTCATATACAGCATGGTGTTATAACCGCGACCTTAAATGGACACACTTCTAACACTACTTGCCAATAATCATAAAAAATATAATACATATATAAAAAAATATTTTCAAACTAATTAAAAAAACGAAACAAAATTTGTAACACATATACCACTACAACTGACTGATTCATACACTCTGAGACTTTTTCTTACGTTGACACAATGTCGCATTACAAGTATCTACTTCTAACAGCATGTTTTATCTCTTTTAAATTCATTTAACCAATTCACATGATTTGTGACCCTTACAAATGAACTTTACGTTAGTTTTACACGTACGGGTGTTCTAAAATTATTTCTTTTGGAAAATTTAATAACTCGGTAAATATTGATGTTTCAGCATCATCATCATTTCAGCCTGTTTGAGTCCACTGCTGAACATAGGCCTCGCCCATAGACGGCCATGAAGTACGATCCTGAGCCACCTGCATCCATCGACTTCCCGCACAATTGCACAGGTCGTCACTCCATCTAGTGGGGGGTCGTCCTACACTGCGATGGCCAGTACGAGGCTGCCACTCGAGAACCTTTCTTCCCCAACGGTTATCGGTTCTACGAGCTATATGGCCGGCCCATCGCCACTTCAGCTTGCTAATCCTCTGAGCTATGTCGGTTATCTTAGTTCTACTGCGGATGTCTTCGTTACGATCGGATGTTTTCGAATATTGATGTTTAAAGAAAGTAAATGTTTAATATAATTTTAAAAAGTTATCCTCTTTATATGTGTTTATTTTAGGTCGCGGTAATAGCGCCACGTTGTATGTATAAGCAATATCAGGTGTTTCTTTGTGACTGATAAGAGTATCGACATAACACTCTCTTTTATACACTTACATACTGATGTGTTTTTTTGTTAAAGACATTGCCCTAACATATACAGCATGTCGTTACAACCGCGACGATAAATGAACACACATATATAGGATAACTTTTTAAAATCGTATTAAACATTTACATTCTTTAAACATCAATATTTACGGAGTTATTAAATTTTCACAAGTCAAACAATTTTGAAACACCCTTACATATAAAACTGTAACATAAAGTTCTATAACTCAGTTAAAAGTTTATGGTTGCAATGATAATTCCGTAATAAATTTCCGTATTAAACTCCTCGCATGAGCTCTGAGGTTGATATAACCTTGCAAAGGCTAGATAATTCGAAGCACTAGAAGATTCAATTAAAAAAGTAAGAATTCCAGAAAAAGGGACATAGGTTTTCACAGCATGTGTAAAATGGTTATAGCTAGGGTTGACAACCATACTTTATAACAACATATCCTACTTTATTTTTTGCAAAAATCATTTTATATCTTTGTATAAAAATTAAGTATGTGAAAATACTCTAATTCGGGAGAGTTTTTCATTACGCTTAAATACTAATTTTAACGATAGTGAAAAACTGTCAGGTTAAAATTTGCAGAAACATTAAAATTTGTAGAAAAAGTACAAAAACATTGTCGCCGCTGTGGGAATCGAACCCACGTCTGCGGCATTCCGGCCTGACGCTTTAGCCTTTGTTTAATCTTAAGTGCAAAAATTATCACTATGAAAAATTTAAAACTGTCAGTTTGCTAGAAACACTCAAAAATAAGTCATCAAGATAAGATATAATTAATAAATATTATACAAAATTTTAAAACATACTTTTTTTTTCTTATATATCCAAATACCTTATTTTTTCCTACTAGAAAATGTTAATACATTATTTTTCTCAAAAACCGTTGCCAACCCTAGTTCCAGCATTCATAATTAGACATGGCATGTTTGTGGATACATGCTAAGTGTGTGCTTAGTAGATCTTATTTATCATATAGTGTATATACATATACATCATATATGTATATACATATAACATCATGTATTATATGTATAACATAATGTATTATACACACTGATAAGTGAATCATTCAATGATCTACTTAAGAAGATAATGATAATTAATCACTGAGACAGTTGCAAGTAGAACATAGTTTACAACCATGAGTTGGTCAGCATGAATATAAAAAATTGTATATACAGGGTGTCTTTACAATCGCGACAATAAATGAACATACATATAGAGGATAACTTTTTAAAATTGTATTAAACATTTACATTCTTTAAACATCAATATTTACCGAGTTATTAAATTTTCCAAAACAAAGAATTTTAGAACATCCTTACGTATAAAACTGTAACGTAAAGTTCATTTGTAAAGGTCACAAAGCATATGAATGGGTTGAATGAATTTAAAAGAGACAAAACATACCGTTAGAAGGAGAGGCTTGTAATGCGACACTGTGGCAACGAATGAAAAAGTCTCTAAATGTATGAATCAGTCAGTTGTAGTTGTATAGATAGGATGTTACAAATTTTGTTTTTTTTTTTACTTAATTAGTTTGTTTGAAAAATATTTTTTTTTAATTATGTAGTTTTTTAACGTTATTATTTTTTTTTATGATTATTGGCAAGTAGCGTTAGACGCGTGTTTATTTATTGTCGCGATGGTAACGACACGCTGTATATATGTGAATATGAAAATCTCACTAATGCAAATGTTTCAAGATTATAGCAAAATGGTGTATAAATACATTTAATCTTAAACTTTTTATAGTTCTAATCTCTGCTCCTAAGACGAAACATTAGTTAAACATTAGTAATAGTGCAGAGATTAGGACTGTAAAAAAATATCATATAGCAATGGTGACACCTCTCGTTCGAATTATAGATGTAAAGCGGCTTTTGAAATTGTTTGTATGTTGTAAAGGATATAACAATAGATGCGTCACGCATTGCTTGGTACGCAAAAAAATGTAAATAAAGGTGAAAGATTTTAGTCCCTTAGACAATCAGCCCTTTAGGTTAGTTATCCGGAATGTGTGGGGTTATACGTTTTAATAAATCCAAATTTAATGGAATAAATATTATTTTTTATAATTTAAAAATTCATAGAAATATTTTTAATTTCTTTTAAATATAATGTTATTAAATAGCGAAACAAAAGAAAACAAGCGATTACATCTGTTATTCCCGAGAGGGTAGGCAGGGACAAATAATACAATACTTAAAATTTTAATAAAAAACCTTAACCAATTCCATTCCACTCCGATTAACAAAGTATGATGATGAAATATGATGCAACATTATTATAATTAATTAATGGCAGGTGCTACTCATGTTAGAGCTCTTTCCTAAAAGTTTAATATCAAACATTGATTGAATTAAAACCTTTTTATCTGTCATACTAAAATCATGCAGATAACACATATTGATTAAATTCTGTACCATATCTAAATTCACCAAAGATATGACATTTGCATTAGGGTTGTTGTAATGATATACAACTAAGGACCAGATACCTTTAACTTAGGATGTAGAAATGAATACAGTGTTCAATTTTGCATAAGCTACTCCCGTTTACCATTAACAGATGATTTCTTGTCCGAAACAATTCACATTTTTCTACAATGAACAAAACATGAACAAAACTGTTATGGAACAACTCCCAAATATACACACTGTTGAGTAGAAAACACTAGATGTTTATGAACAATAGCATTGTTTGGGGATTTGTCTTTTTGACTGAATCAAGCTGCAATTATGTATTCTCAGCTAACATAGACAAACTTCCCATTTCAAAATTGCTTGAATTTACTTAAGTTAGACGAAATATTATGTCTTGTGAAATATATAGAATTAATTGTTGTTTAATGCAAATCTAGTTAACTATAGTGTGATCATTTTTTTTAATTGCCCTAGTTCAGGATAACATTATCCTGTGCTGTAAGGACGTTTTACAAAAACATAAATTTCACGTGGACAAACACCGCGAGACACAAATATACGAAACAATTATCTGTGGGTCACACAAATAGTTGTTCCGTGTGGGAATCGAACCCACGACTCCCGACGCCAATATCTTGGCAACTACGCCACGGAATCATCTTTTATTTCTAAAATAATCCAAGACAACATGTTGTCGTATGTAAAATTGAAACTAATAAAGTGGGCTGCGTTTGGTCATACGGTCGTTTGTATTTTAAAAAAAAGCCACAGGCATAAGTACGTCACCTTTCCTGCCCCGCCGTGTCCCAGATCTCAAACTTGACGGTGGTGTCGTCGAGACAGACGGTCTGCGTGAGGAAGGCCGCGCCGATCGTGCTCTCCTGGTACTCGTGGAACTGTCCCTTGACGAAGCGCAGCACTAGCGACGACTTGCCCACCGCCGACTCGCCCAGAAGCACCAGCTTGAATTGGCACACCTTCGTCTGTGGTGCCCCGTTGGGCCTCTGTGCCGCTCCGCTCCTGTTTGTTGCCATCGCCTAACCGGGAACAAATGAAATGGGCCATTTTTATTTATTAAAAACAAAACCGAGTATAAGTATCTCAAGCGCTTTATTGTACATGTTTAAGGTCCAATACCAATGATATTAGTATGGGACCACATGGGAACTGAACAGAAACAATTTTAAAAATCTACAGCGTTCACAGTAAAAACCAACAAAGTCAGTTGAAGGAAACAAATGGTGTTTTTTGTATTTCATTTCATAAACTAAGCTTTGTGTTTAATAAACTATGGTACTAAGGTGCTTTTGGGTTTTTTGTTATTACAATTTATCTAATAACAAAAAACACAAAGTACACCTAGACTGAGAGCACCTATTTATAATTCACACATACTTCAATTCACTCAGTCATAATTAATCAAGTGATCAAAGACAGTTACTAAAATTAATAGACAATACAAGATTAAATGCTGTTGAATGAAATATTAACCCACATAGAGTTCATAATCTAATATCAATAATACAAGTGAAATTGTAGGCCTAAAATAAGATTTCTAAGTCAACAAAGGTATAAGGTAACAACACTTATGCATATTATTACGTACTGGATTATCACTTACGTTGATAATTTGCAATTTCTAGATTACCTCTTGTGCCTTTTAATATTTTCTTTATTTTTGAGATAAATTATTTTCTTATGTTTCCTACATAAAATAAAACAACTATTGATTGTTTCTTTCTTAAACAACATTTAAATAAGATCTTCACATAATAATAATCTGTGCTTTCAAATCACAGCTGGATATTAAATTTTAGGTAGTAGAAATGAAGTAATAAAAGTTTTCCATGGCAGCTCAGGTTAGAGACAAAGGCAAAAAAGGCATGAAAGGAGGGCAATGACTTATTCATGCTGTGATAAACAATAAACAGCAGATAAATGCATTAAGAATAAACTTAGAAGTTTGTCCCAAATATGCATTTGAATGAAAATTATTTATTATTTTTTGTACCAAATTCCATTGGCATGGCATACAAATTATGAGAACAATGTCAATGCAACAAACCTTGTCCTTATTGAGCGAGGTCAGGAAAATTGACAGAAATATTTACAAATGTAGTGTTCAGTGTACAATTTCAATCTTTGAAGTAATATTATTTTAGGCAATTTGTTTATGCAAACACTGCCACTTTGATAGCTGTGGACCTAGCTATAAACTTTTTCAATATTTTTTGTGAGCATAATGTAAGCAAATAAAATGCTAATGCTAGGTCGCTAATAATAAGTTTATAATTATATTAAGTTTAATATTATATGTTAAAAATTTTACCAACATCATAATAAGTCAAAAAATTATCAATACACAATTTAATCAAATTGAATATCAAATATATGCTGAGTACAGCAAAGTGTTTAGTTTCTATGAGATGGCTGGTTTCTATGGTGGTTGGATGTATTTGGGCTGATATGATAAATCTACATAGAAAATCAACAAGATAAATATATGCAGTAAATTGGAAATGAAACAAAGAATTGAAAAAATGAACATCCTGAAAATAGTAACATTAAAAAATATATTAAAATAATAAGAAACTCACCAGCTAATAGAGAAACAAAAACACAATTTGATACCATTTATTACTATAATTTTACTTTTTAGAATAAAACAACTAAAAAATAGTACTTTACTACTTTATTTCTCAATAAAACGATCAAGACCCCGAGAAAAGCAATAGCAATTAAGAGAAACACCGATGAGCGGTAAACAAGGACGTGTTATCTTTCTATGCTATCATCGTGAAATCACAAAGAAACTGAACAATGGCACTTTATCTGTGATTATTTGGCGCAGTTGCGGAATTTGTAATGATTGTTTTTTCATACAATTAATCGGTCTCTGAGAGCGTGTCTGCAACACAGATGACTAACCGTATCTCCCGTATCAATCCATTGCCTTCGTTGTCCGAACACTATGAATCGCCTCCAACCAGATCAGCTGGAGGCAATAAAATCACAAGACAACGTCGTTCAACCATTTAATCACCTGACCGAAAGCACTTAGGCACACATACTTCATGTAATCCTGCTGCAGTGAGTTCGAACTCGAAATATTCGATAAAATGACGCATTTACTTGATTATAAGGACATGAAAGACGTACCCTCCCTGTTATTATATTGACGATTTGCACTTATTGGTGGGCGACAAATCCTCACAAGGTCGCCGTGATCCCAAAAATCTCATTAATTACACACTTGTACAGTTAAGATCATTAATTCGAAATGTTAAACTGGAAAATCTAGCACAGAAATGCGAAATGACTACGAACAAACATGGAAGCGAGAGAGCGAGCGAGATGATTCCTATAATTGTGTCTATGGCTATGGAAATTACTTCCTTTGTCTATGTTAAAAAAATAACAACTATTGCTGAAAATATTAGATAATAATTTAAAACATTAATTGTATTTGATTATATTTCATTTCGTTCATATATGCAACATACACGTTTTATAATAACATTAATAAACACGCGTTTTTAACAATATAGTAATAGTATTCACGTGTATTGTTAACGCCTCTAGCATTCAAATAGTCACAGACTGCGATTGATAAAATAAATTATAGCTTTGGTAATAAATAAAAAAAACATTAAAATAGTATATATATATATATATATATAATGTATATAGTATAGTAAAAAAGTAATTCGAGTGGATTAAATAAAGTTGTAAATACACAAAAGAATAACGGAATAAATTATATTTTAAAATAGAAGTTAAGTTTAAAATGGTTGGGGATAATGGTATAAAATAGTTTAGTATAATTTTGGGTTGTATTTTTTCAAATTTGTGACAATTTTGCAAAGGCAATCTGGAAATTATGTCAGTTTTATAATCAATAACAGTTTTACATTTAGGATGCGTACCCGGTTCCACTAAGCGTCGACAACGATCAAAATGCTCCTTAATCGTTCAACATAACGACCGCGGTCGTTGTGGTCGCGGTAAAAAAGTTTCTTATGACGTCATGACTTACACTCACGAAGCTCACGACGACCCATCTAAAAAGGTGGGGTCTATGGGTAGGTCGAACTGACGTTGAGAAAATTAGCGGCATTTTCAAAATTCAAAATGTCAAAGGACAAAGTGTCACCGCAACAGACATTTTAATTACATTTGGACGTAAATTATTGAATACTCTATTAATATTAAATATAAAAAATAAATTTTATTTTAATTTTATATATAAATCGATTTAAACAATAAATATTTAAGTTTATTTTCAATGCTTACAGATTATAATCTAATTCTTAAATCTTTTTCTTTCTTTTTTCTAACTCACCGTTTGTATTATTTACCTCCACGGCCCACGCTCTAAACGCTCTATAATTCATTCATTCCAGTTGAGTTTACGACAGTAACCCTCAGCTCACGGGAACGGGAAAAACTGCGATCGTGAGCGTGGTCGTTGTGATCGCTTAGTGGAACGCAGCCTTACACTCCCTCAGCTCTTTTTACTTGACATGTCATAAACGTCAAACTCAAACTCAAATGTGGTTTTTGTTTGTGTTTCTTGTCGTATCTGAATCTGTATCATAATAATTTAAAAATTATTTATTTCTGTGAATTTATTAGAAAAGGTTTGTATTCAATTTTTGAAAATGAAGATAACGAGATATAAAAAGGTGCAAAAATATCTTAAGTTCTATTATAACAACTATGGTTTTCACCAACCGTACCAAGTGCTACTCGATGGCACATTCTGCTTTGCCGCTTTTAAAGTAAGTCCTCATATAAAATATTTATAAAGAGGCCTAGTTTTGTTTACTGCTATTCTCCAAAAGTACTAGTGAATTTATTTCAATTGTAAAATTGCGGTTAACCGGGCAAGTAACTTCTCTTACAAATTTGTAGCTCTGTTCGAAATCGGGAAATCGTTCGCATGGTGTGTAACTTTGATTATGTATTATAAAATATCTTATAAATATATAGTAAATATCTGTGTAGAATGGATAGTAAATACCGTCGCAATGGTCATCTAATTGACATCGTCGACGAGGAATGGCGGACGGAACGACTTCCTCATGAGGACATCCAGGTTCCTTTAGAGGAGCTGCCTGATCCTGAGGCCGATAGTGCCGATTCGCATCTTACATTAAAGGAACAGAGTATGCGATGGCAAGAGAACTTTCCAGAGCCCGCAAGCAGTAATCAAAACTAGGTATTTATTCATTTCATCCTATATTGTATAATATTGCAACTGTTTTCACATGCATACATCTAACTGTACAATAAGAGAAAATAATGTTCTCTTCTCACTCACCAGACAAAACTTGAAAGTATTTGTCATACTTCCATTTAGCGCTGATCTTCTGTGAGGTTGTGGTACTTACCCAGATGGGCCTGCCCACTTGTGCCACAACCGAGGCGGCTGGTAACTTACGAATGTATTAATTTTTATGTAAAATTTTTGACATTTCATAGGAACACGCAAGCGTCTATGTGAATAAATATATTTTTGATTTTGATTTTTGCTGCATGGCCCTACCACCGTAAAATTTAAATGTATGTTTATAGCCTGAGTGAATCTGTCATAGTTATGTCACAGATTAATATAAACTATTTATTTAATAATTTTATTGCAAACAATATATTTTAGGAACTTTTTTTTAGGAACACATCAATATCAGAGAGCAGTTACCAAAATATTTAAATGGACAAGCAAAACTATTAACAACTAGATGTATTATAATAGAGACTGAAAAAGTTGCTAAGAAAACCCATGGCGCCCTCACCATACTGAAACAGTTTGGCATTCATGAATGTGGACATAAAGAGCCAGTAAATGGTTCACAATGTATAAAGTCTATGATTGGTAAAAAGAATGAAAAACATTATATCCTTGCATCTCAGGATCGGGACTTACAAGAGACAATGAGAACAAAAGCTGGTGTTCCATTACTGTATTTGCATAACAAATCCCCAACACTGGAGAAGCCATCAAAAGCAAGTTACAGCAAAGCGGGCCAATTGCTAGAGTCAAACTTTACATTCATCAGTGAAACTCAAAATGAAACTTTAAAAAATATGAAAAAAGCATTGGGGGTTGAAGAAAAGGTAGAAGAAGTAAAAGTTGTGATAAAAAAGAAAAAACAACACAATCCAAATCCATTGTCCTGTAAGAAAAAGAAAAAGAAACCTGGTGTTAATGCCAGTACCAGTAGTAAAATTAGGGATGGTGTAAAAGAAGGAAAAGTGAGGAAGCGTAAGAAAGTTCACAAAAAAATAGAACTTCATAAAATAGAACAATAAAGCAATTTTACACAGTAATATTGTGTTTTGAAAACATTTGCCTAATATTTCATAAAATATTTGATTTAAGTGAGTACTTTATTTTGTATTTGCATTTTGTGTGGAAGGGGTTGATTAGTAAGTCTCACAATGATCGTATTATAGTATTCAGAAGATCTTTTTTAGTCTTCCCTTAGAAATCATTGCTCCTTACTGTAAGATAACACTATCCTGCAGCAATGATTTCTAGGGTGTTTATATACAATATCATGTTGCAGAGATCCAAAACAATTATCTGTGGGTCACAGAAATAGTTCTCGTGTGGGAATCAAAGCCACGACTCAGTGCTGAACCCAATACCATGGCAACTGCGCCAAGGCCTGTTGTTATAAACGGATTATAAATAATTTTTCAGGTTTTTAAATTTAATTTATAATCAATATGTATTTATTATAATTAACATATTATATCGTGATGTTCGTACTACGATTTTTTACGACCACCCGCCGGGCTGATGTCCACCTTCCATGGGAACTAATACCCTGATCCCAAACATCTGTAGGGTATACAACACTTGTCTCACATCAGAACGAAACCCACACCCGTACAAAAAAATGTGTACATATATATATATATATATATATATATATATACACTATAATATAAGTACTTATATTAGGTATTTGTTATTATATAGTTATGAATTGTATTTAATATTTTATTTTTCTACATATGTATTATTGTAATGTATTTTTGCACTGTTATCCCGCAACTTTGTATCTATAATCTATATCCTGTGCCCTTAGGTTGCCTGGAAGAAATTGCTACCTCAGCAATAGCCTGTATGTACACTATATTTCCAGTATCTTCTTTCTTTATATTTCCTTGTGTGCAATAAAGTATAAAAAAAAACAAGATATAACAGTCAGGAAGTAATATTAGTAGAGATAATTACGAAGGCAATGCTTTGTTAATTTGTGCGAATGCTACACATAGGTAAATAAAACTAAGTTTTACAGATTCAATAACATCTATATTAGTTTCATTTGACCATTGTAAAGAACAAATATTTTATGAACATACTTGTCAATAATTATAAATATTATGCATTAAAGGCCCAAGTAAATTTCAATCTGTAAACACCAAAACATAGTATATGTATTAAAGCTAGATTGCTTAAATACAATGTGTGAAAATGACTCAATATATCGTAACTCTCCTCGGGCGCGAAAACTTCACAGCCATCCGGTGAATCCTGTAAACCAAATAATATATAATAATATTGCTAAGATCATTTTTAATCCCGTGCACAAGAATATTTTAATTACCTCTATTGTGTGTCTTATCAATGTTTCTTTAAAGTAATCCCAAACCGCTTCGGGTACTGTCCAATAGTGCCGTTTGAAATACAGATGAGTTTTTAAATACATCGCGAGGACGCAGGCTAACTTTTGGGCGTTAAAGTCACGCTGAGAGGAGTACTCTATCAATTGTAAGATCATACTGACTAGAAACATCTTTTCGGATAGATGATGAGCGAGTGTGATATTTTTGTCGACCAAGTAATCGGCTGGTGAATAAAATAATTAAATCAATATTTCTGTTAAAAATATAATATGATTAGAACGCGAACCGTAACTAATATGGATACAAACAATACATTATCGTCGTTCCATTCTTTAAAAAACAAATCTGAAAAAAATAAATTAACCACAATAACACAATAAATTAAACTTTTATCTAGATTCCTTGATGATAAATTATATGGAGATACGGTCGTATAGTTTATTGAACACGCTCCTTTGTTGTCCTCCTGTGTTGAAGGAGGACATCCTTTACATACTGTACACAGTATGTATCATCATCATTTCAGCCTGTTTGAATCCATTGCGGAACATATAGGCCTGTCGGCCTGCTACTCTAGAACATTTATCCCATCGGTTACTGTTCATCAGTTGTAATGACCGCCCATTGTCCCTTCAGCTTAACTTACCTTATGTTCTGAACTATGTCGGTTAAATTTATTCTGCGAACTCTATGGCGGCATAGCTCGCCGAGTGAGGAAGCTCATTCTCAAGCGGCTAGCTGTGATTGACCACCACGTCTCAGTTCCGTAGTTCATTAGTGGCAACACAAAATTGAAATATTGTATTCAAACATTAAGGGAAATTGGACGAAAAGATATGAAAGAAGTTTCCCGAATGCTGCCCGTCCGAGTTGGATTCACATTTTGCAGATCGACCTTTGCCTCGACGTTACCTAGTAGTTCCAATTATCGGTATATGCGTGACATAGAAACTTGGGTCATTTTCGTCTTGTTCCATGTCCATCTTAAAACCCACTCGTTGAGAAGCACTGTTGAGATCAATGAGCATAGTTCCAATTATGTATAGTAGATATTTTAATTAGTATCGAACCTAAATATCTCTTGAACGCCGCATCCGTTTCCGTGTCAGCAACGGCGATCATTCTTACTACATCCTCTTCAGTTACAAGCAATCCAATCAGAATATGTGGTTTCTTTTTATCATGCGGCCTTTTGAATGGCGGCGCTTCGTTTGCGCTCAATGAAAAGAAATAGGAAGGCGCCGATGTCTGTGGTTTCAATTTGTTCGAATATTTGTGCTCTTCGCGCAGGATTATGGGCGTCGAATCCGCTTTGATACGAGTCTTTACTGAGACATCAGTCACTAAACTCGTTACCGATTTTAAGGAATCCATTGTGATCGATTATAATATGACGGCACATGACATAAGTCATTAACGAATTTACTTATTTAAAAAAATAATTTAATGAAAGAACTTTTATTTTTTTTTTGTATTTGTGCGGCGATTGTCTAACTAGGAAAATTAGTTCTGTTAGCAAAGTTCAACTTCAGCGCAGAGATCAATCGGCGAATTCAACTTAAATGGGCAGCGTTCCGGAAACTTCGTTTAATACCCCTCAATATTTGAGGACTAATCTTTAATGAATGTGCGATACCAGCAGTGGCGGATTTGTAGTCTTGGCCGCCCTCGGACCCAGCCCCTTTCTCAGAGCATATCTTGTTAACATCAGTGATTTTTTGTCACGATTGGCCGCCTTAGGCCCGGGCCTATTGGGCCTTTGGGCAAATCCGCCACTGGATACCTGTGACGGCCCAAGGAACTGAGCCTTGGTCCTTCACTGCTGCCCGTATAAGTGCTCAGTCGCTCAGCGAGCTATGCACGGTGTTTCTCTGCGTGATAGAGTACGCATTGAAGACATCCGTTAATAAAGGTAACCGACATTTTTATATGAGTAATCTTAAGTGGCAATGGGCCGGCAATATAGCTCGAAGAATCGATAACCGATAGGGAAGAAAGATTCCCGAGTGGCAACCTCGTATTAGGTGGAGTGACGACGTGTGCAAGTGTGCGGGAAGTCGATGAATGCAGATGGCTCAGGATCGTACTTCGTAGCGGTCATGGGGGAGGCAATGTTCAGCAGTGGTCAAACAGGCTGAAACGATGTTGATACCTTGTTTCTAAAGTTAATAATGCAGATAAATTTCTAGGAATCGACGATCATGATTTTTTGGTCTCTGACCTAAAACGATTTAGCAAAAATGTATGTATAAAGATGAAATAAAAAAAATAGATACAAAAACAAGGTCGGACGGCGTAGACAATCTCTATTTGTAAACGCTTGGATTATATGATAGCCAAGGCTTTATTGCCGTAAATTCATACAATTTTGCAGTGCATTCAAAGAAAATAACACTTTTTTTAAGAGGTTTGTTATATCCTCCACCCACGGATACCTAAAAGTCATACGAAATAACAAATTACTAAAAAGCGGCTGCGTTGCTCAAGCACAAATGAATATAATTAAAAAAAATAAGTAACAAAATATTTACAACAAATTTATTTCTTTTAAGTAAGGTTTTATCGCTAGCGTTTTTTATTTTTAGGCGCTTTTTCAGGGCGACACGATTCTGCATCAGCAGAGATGTCGAACACGTCCCAATAGCGTCCCCCCAGTTTATTATCGTGGTCCGGTGTCCCGTTTACATCTTTATCGCTCTTACTGCTGTTTTGCTTCGCTTTTCCACTCTTCTCTTTCTTGTCACTCAGAGATTGTTCACGTGTCGCCTCCTTACCGAGTTTCGTCTTGTTTTTACTTTTATTTGTTTTTTTCGACTCCTCTTCAGCTTCGCTACTGTCACTGCTGCTGCTGCTGCTGCTACTGCTACTGCTGCTACTACTACTACTACTCACTTGTTTTTTATTTTTGCTTCTTTGCTCACTTTTGCTTTGTTTACCCCTTTCCTTGCTTCCTTCGTTTTTACTTTCTTTGTTTGTGGCCGTGTCGTCGTCTCTATTACGTTTAGTCGTATTGTTTGGTTTGTTTTTAATTTCACTCCCTTTATTTGAATTTGTATTGTTGTAAGCATCTGACTTACCTATACTTTTATCGTTTTTGTTTATCTTATCCTTTTGTAACTCATCATTACCTCCATTATTATCTCTTTTTCTAGACCCTTTATCGGCCTCTTTGTTCCTACTATCTTCATCGGAGACTTTTTCTTTCTCATTTCGTCGATTAATTTTCGTATCCCCTTTTTTGTTACTCTGTTCTTCATCTCTGTGCCTTCTTTTGTCTTTGTTCTCTTCTCGGTATCTTTTGGATTCTTCATCACTATTTCTTCTATTATTTTTATCTCCTCGTTCACCTCGTTTATATTCAGTGTTATCAAGCAGCCTTTTTTCGTTTCTTCCTTCGCGGTCACCATTTCTAGATTCAAAATCATTTATTTGCCTTCGTCTATCGCTATAGTCATCTCTGTCTCTTTTACGCTGTTCACGATCTCCTCTCCTACCGTCACGGCTGTGTATATGATCGTCTTTTCTACTGTCTTCCCCCCTGTTTTCTCGATTTCTATCACGGTTTGGTTGATTGTTTAAATGTTCAGAGTCTGTTCTCCTGACATCACGACTGCTTGTTGTCCTATCATTCCCAGTGTCTTCTTTTCTGTTATCTCGCCTTCTATCACGATTATTTTGATCACGTTCATTTCTAAGTTCTTCTGGATCAGTTCTCCTGGCGTCATGGTTGTTTCTACGATCGTCTTGTCGATCACCTTGTCGCCTGTGGTCTCGTCTTCTTTCTCGACTCTTTGGCTCGTGGTTATCTTGTCTATAATCAGTTTTAGGTCTTAAAAATTCCTCTCTATCTGACCTTTCAGGCCTAGAGTCAGCTCGACGTGCTCCTTGGCCGTAAGTGTCATAAAAACCATCATGTCCCCATCTTTCAGGCTGTTGCTCTTTATTTTTTTCATTACTCTCTCCTTCTTGAGCTTTAGTTGATTTATTTTTTCCTTTTTCCTGACATTTTTTGTTTTTATCTTCTTTAGAAGGGCTCTCTTCTTCAGAGGATGATTCTACAATGATAAAAAAAAAAAAACAATTTTCAAATCTTTCATTATTTATTTAGTGGTAAATGATTGCAAACAAGCAGTTGTTCGTCTGATGTTAAGTGATTTTCCCACCTGTGGGCATCTACAATGACTGAAGGGTTGTAGATGCGTTAACAACCTTTAAGTGAGCACCGGTTGCTTCACTTACCAGAGGATACGAAAAAGTATTCTTCTAAAAAGTCTTATTCTGTAAGGCCATGGTCCTTCCCACTGGACTATTGCCAAGCAAGAGCTGATGCTTGACACTACCACAGTCAAATCAGGTCAGTGTGACCCTACAAGTTTTATTTCAGAATTTTGAATTTTCTTTTTTTTATATTAGCGATAGTATTATCGTTCCATATGTGTTTCAAAATATCTAAATAGTGAAAACATATGTATAGTGACTATAATGTGCTCGAAAACATGAAGGCCTTCCTAGGAAAAGTTGTAATAAGACTGTTAGAAATTCCAGAAACAGGTAGTTTATTAAACGAACATTATGACGCAATTCACAAAATAAGGATAGTAAAAGTCACAAGACTAAATAAATTTTTCCGCCGCACAAAATTTAGCTATACATGGTCTCTATAATTAATAGCCCTAAAAAATCTAAGAAAGACGCAATAGCACATGGAATATAAAAAACTGCCAAGTAAATGATTGTCCAGTTTTGATAATCCCAATTGTTTTTGACTTAACAATTAGACTTAAAACTAAATTATTACCACTTGAGCTGCTGTCGCTTGACGACGAATCGCCCGAACTGCTGGAACTCGAACTGGAGCTGTCAGAGCTCGAATCTAGATTAATTTCTGTTATTTGTGCGGGGACATTCTGTAAAGGTAAGTAAATGTAAAGTTAAAGACCCACCTAACATTGCTATAAGAGTATTATATCAATATGATATGTAGTAATAATTATTATTATATTTTAATGTGTGATTTCTCATAATGAGGCTAAAATGCGTTTATAAATGAAATATTCCTAAAAATACTTAACGTAAAAAAATAGTTTATATATGACATATATGCCGTAGGATTGGCAGAGTTCACATATCTTCGAAACATTCCATTTGTTATTATTTCCAAAATATGCAGTTTTACTCACGATCTTTTCTGTCTTTGACAAAAAAATAAGTCTTAAACAGCATTTAAAATTAACAATTCCACTAGTGCAAGCACCGGGATCAAACTTGGGTTGCTTGAGTATATTGAATTAAAAGTGGCCCCGACAATGAGCTATCAGGGCTCTAATAGTTTAATTTATTTATGCTTTATACCTTTGGCATCTGCTTTAAATGCTCGCGAAGTTCATCAGTGAGCCCTCCGAGTCCAATAGAGGTGAAGAAATTTATAGAGAATCGAGTGTTTTTTGGATTATCACGAGGGAAGAGCCCACTGAATGCATCTTGTAATGTTCTGAAAAAGAAGACGGAAACAGTTAAAAATATATATATTAAGTTTGTATTTATATTCATAGATAAAATAATTATATTAAAATTAGGAATAGTTCACACTACAATACTAAAGTTCTAGTTTGAAATTAAAGTACATCGATTTAATAGCATTTATTTTGCTGCATTACAATGACAAGACTCATAATATTAAATAAAATGAGTCCAAGAGGAATAACAAATTTATTTAAATCATTTCCCTTGCTAGAATTTTTTTGAAATTGTTGCTAAATATAAACAGTCAAAAATTTTAATTTAAAAGGGAGATTTTACATATAATTGCATATTGTATATATCATAAAATATATGTATAGATAAAACTTTAATCATTGTGTATGCATGAACTATTCCTGATCTGAACTCACGGATCCTTCAGCCGCTCATTTAGTTTCTTCAACCCCATATACTCCGCCAACTCTTGGAACAAGATCTTTATGTAAATTCGACTGGAACTTGTGGTATCTTCTTCATTTAATCGTACACACTCCATCACTTCCCAACTGATAGAATCAGTGAATAACAGATGTGCAAAAAATTTGCTAACATTCCTCAAACGGTTTGTGTCTAATCTATGGGCTGTGGAATATGAATCTTTAAAGATTTCTTCGAATGGCCCAATGTATATCCTATTTATATTACAAAATCTTTGAGCTAATAAACCATAGAACTTTTCATATGTTCTTTGTTCAGCACAGCAGTCTAGGAACATATGGCAGAGTTCTATCTCTTGGCCTGGTTTAAGCTGCATCTTCATTAGTTTATGGGCACATTCTTCAAAATCTAAACTTGAGTTAATGGTGAGATAGATAGTACGACGCAAAGCAACAAGATTTGTCTCGGTATTATCTATGATTGTCATCTCTTTTTTTTGTTCCTCCTCCTCGTCTTCTTCAGATTCATCACTTCCCGATTCTCCAGATTCATCTTCTTCCCCTGATTCTGCATCAGAGCCTAGAATTTCTTTGCTCAGTGTTTTGTACTTTTGTTCATTTTCTTCATATTTTTCATCAAACTTGAATACATCTGAAATTTTAGATACCATGTTATACATTTTTCATTCATTCAATTTTTTATTAACTTTTTGTAATAAAGTTTCATATTGAATTAAAGTACCTAAAGACAATGTAATTTCATTAAAACAACTTAAAAATATACCCCATGTAATAATATATTAGAACTTACAAAAATAGATTTACAATTATTATATCAATTGGGCCCAATGATGTTACACTAACAAACTGTAAGGGGTAAAGGGGATTTTAGTTGTAGGAAGAAGTAGAAAGTAATTTTTAACAACAATAACCAATGTAGGCTTGTGTAGAGCATAAATAATTTTAGGGTGTTTAGGTGTTGTTACTACATAAGAAAACTATTAATACAATCTTCTAAGTATTATCCTGGTCCAAATTTGAATTTGTAACAATTGCAAAGATTACTGTGAATTAAATCCGAAAATTGTTTAACACTTAAGGGAAAGCCAATTTTTAATAAATAATATAGTAATAATAAATAATGTAGTTAGGTATTCTTACTCAGGATGTCTTGAGGATCCGTAGCATCATCTAACATCAACAAATGTGTAAATTGCTCTTCTTCCGGCACCAGCTCCAATTCTTCAATCAAGGCTGGATGATCTTTGAAACCATCTTTCCACACTTGGAACATTACTTCAATCATATACTGAACTCTTTTATCAAGTTGACCCTCATGTAGAATGTTCCTAAGCATCTCAAATATTGCATTTACTCCTTTAGATGAGACCTCTGTCAGTTTTTGACCACACTCCTTGAGAAATGCAATGGCTACCTCTACTGAATCATCTGTGGGTGTCTCAACAAGTAATGTTAAAAGTTCCAAAGCAAGAATTTCATGAGCGACCCTCTGATTGACAAGATGTGCAATAAAAGAGGCTGAAGAAATGCATATGGCTTTGTCATTCCTTTTGAAGCCTCTTTTGAACTGAATAACTAACCTTTTGAGAAGCAATTCTCCAATGTTTGGAAATCTGGAATTAACTGCTGCTACTAGGGCTGCATACACATTGGTGAATGTTGGCGACGCAGCCTGAGCTTGAATAACAGATCGGCACAGTAACCCGCGCCCTCGGACGATGTTTTCTTTTAAAAGCTCTTTGATTATAATACCTATGTTTCCGACGTTAATTTTATTGATGTGGCCATGTATTGACTTCTTTAGTGCTTCCCAAGCTAACCTCTGATATGCAACAGAAGATTTGTCTGTAATTTGAGCTTGCATCATCCGGAGCCGTGCAGGTGGGATGTACGCGCCTCCTGTTCTTGTGTTTAACATATCGGTGTCTTTCGCTTTTTTCTCCGGTGCTTGTTTTCTGTTTTCATCGCTTTTCGATACTTCATTTCGGCGATTTTCTTGTTTGACGCCAACATCTGGCGAGCGTGATTTGGAATGTTTTCGCTTACGTGTAGAGTCCCTATTTCGATCTTTTCTATTTTCGTGCACTTTAGTAGGTGATCGTGAACGAGTGCGAGCTCTTTTTGACCTCTTTTCTTTCCGATATTCATCGTTATCGTCATGTTTGTCCTTTTTACGTTTATTTTCCTTATTTTCCATTATAGGTCAGAACATATATATATTTACTTAAAAAATACTTATTAAAATATTGAATTATAAGTTTACTTTCGAGATATGCTCATTAAAAAGATAAAATATAATAATCAACGATGTGACCAAAACATTAAATTTCGGCCATTTTAAAATTTAACCTGAATTTGACATATTGACTTGACAAGATACCAAGCATTAAGCATGCTAAAACAGAATATATATATCTTGAGTGTTGCCATTATGGTGCCGTTGAACAAGACTAAGGTCATGTTCAACGAGCTGATTTCGATCAACGGATCGAAATTGTTCAAGAGTATGTTTACCACGGGCAGACATTGCAGTCGGGTAGAGACAACTTTGAGCGTGAAATCGCTAGAAGAGGATATTTGATTGAAATCGCCTTATATCTTCTCAATCTACCACAATACCTTAAGAGCAGGATCTACAACCAGTGCGTCCTACCAGTCTTGGCATACGGGGCTGAGACGTGGAACATGACAGTGAGGCTGGCCGATTACACGTCGCTCAGCGAGCTATGGATAGATCTATACTCGGTATTTCTCGAAGATAAAATCCGTAAAGAAATCATCCTGCAGAGGACCCTGCAAGTCCTGGATATAATACATAAGTGTAGCAAGCAGAAGTGGCAGTGGGCTGGTCGCATTTGTCATTGAACGTTGAAGCAGTCGGGTTCGTGAATGGAAAACAACTCTTGGAAAACGTAGTGTCGGACGTACCTCTTGCCAGGTCACTGTGGGGAGGCCTATGTCCAGCAACGGACTGCAATAAGCTGATTGATGATGATGATCATTATAGTGGGAATATTTCACTATAATAATCTAGCATGTAAGTGTAGTTTGTCGCACTTCAGTCCGTTGTCTTTGAAACTCATTGGTTAGAAACCCTTATTAAAAGAAGAAGTTAATTACATTAGTACTCGTTTCGTTACTAGTACTCGTAAAATTAAAGAGGTTACCTCTTTAATTTTTATCAGTATGTAACGTTTTATTTGACTGCTTTTTGAAACATTTCACATCAAATACTAATTAATATATAAAACAAGGACATATTATTATTTAATCGAATTGTGGAGTACCGATGACTTCACTGCCTACGACATTCGTATCTGGACTTACTCATCGTGCATCCGTTTTTCTCAACCCCGTATTTTTATTTGCTGCCTCCTTCTTTTTTTGCTAACCAACACAAATCAAAATGTTAGGAAAATAATGGCAATATATTAATACATGTATATGATATGAGATCCCCAATGACTGTACATAACATGAGATCCCTTAAAGTCTAGAGTCGTATTTGGTACATCTTTTAAAAACACAAAACGACATTTTTATTTTTGTACGCGTCTTACTTGCCATCCAGCCTAACATTGTCCCAATTGGGCCGTCTTTATGTTCTTTGGGACTTCACTTCGGGCGCGTTAGTAACATATTTTTAGTATAAAATATCATTGCGTTCAGTCTGTAGAAGTCCAAGAGGCACCACGTTGTTGAACGACGCCGGTATGTTTGAACTATTCGTCGCACGTGTTAATGTATCTTTGGCTTGGTCAATTTCGAAAGAGAAGAGATAACACGCGGAATCAGACCGCATTATTAAACCTCTTATATGAACTGGGGAGCATTTTCAATCACAAGTTGTACGCACTCAAAGTGCTAGACAGGCACGTACATACCATTCGATCTTTCATGTCGTTCTTCTGGATACAGAGTTGAGGGCATTCTCTCCACGAGCCATGGCGGACTATCGTTGATCTCTCTGAACTCTTCTCTGAATCTTTGCGCTTTACACGAGCGACAACCCTGGATCCAATGCTCTCCATCTCAAGATTCTAAAAGAATGAGAATTACGGCTAGAAGCAACTCTCTCCGATCATTTACTGGACGACATCGACCGGCATTTGAATTTTTGTTCCAATGTCACAATACGCGCAAATAAAAAGAAATAAAATCAGTTCATCGCTAAATATATTTGTTTTCTGCATTGCTTATTTTTGATTTTTCTAATATTGTCGCTAGGTTATTTGAAATTTGTTGATACGCCTGAACATAATTATACTTCTATAATAAAATTAAAGTGATTTTTTTGTTATTTATTCGTTGAGAACAGACGCATGGGCATGGGTGGTAATAATTTCTTTTTCTTTTAAACGTTCTGAGTGTTTTAACTGTAAATCTCATTATTATTAACAAATTACTATACATGATAGAGTTACCGATAATTGGAAGAACAGTTAGAGATGTATCTCAAGCCTTTATAATTTAGACTGTAACTTGTAGCAACTGTAACTTGCGTTGGTGATCTAATAAATAAGTAAATGAAAATCAGTTGAGCTAAAAATTAAGTTTTACGCACACGTCACAAAGTGCAGTGATAAGAACCGGGTAGAGACCATACCAGCAATAAGATCACTGAAAAATAGTTCGTGATAACGAGTACGTCACAATACGGCAGAATCCTGATCGTATTATTTTATATTTAAAAATAGTAGTTTTGTGTATAATAATATTTATAATATAACAATCGCTTTAACTTCAATATCCTCGCGCAACCCGAGTTCATCGTGTCGTGTGCCCAGCGGCGAAGGAAACCTGCATATTTTCGAATAACAAGAAAATATTTCGAAGATTTGTAAAGTCCGCCAATCCGCAGTGGGGTCGCGTTGTGAACTGTGCCCTAACACACTGTACATAGGAGGCCTTTGTCAGCAGTGGAATATATGGGGTGTCACTTTACTTACTTTTATATATGATAACAGGCAGTGATGTAACGGTGCCTGGGGTGTCAAACTTAATGTTAAAGTCGAAGGTTAGAAGCATTTATATGACATCGGTATTTCAGACTTTCGTTACGCATTAGCATTCTCAGTCTGGTCAGGGTTAAAAGATAACATTTTGGAAGATGTTAGTTATCATATTTTAACAGAGCAAGTTCAAGGCATAAGTTCAATACAACCTATTATCGCACACTGGTTGTTAGGATGTGGGGAAATAAAATAAACAACGATTTATTAGTATTTATGACTTTATTCAATACGACAATGAAACTACAAAAATTGTCTGCACTTCAAACAGCATTTTTATCCCTCACAAACTGAAGCACATTATTATAGTTATTATTAATCACATAAAATATAAAATTAACGTACACAATAACACCGTAAGAGATAGGGTAGTGACTAACGATGAGGAAACAATAGAAAAAAAAAGACAATGTAATAATTATCTGAAAGCTATACGTTGCGTCGCTATACATGATTCGTCTCGATCTCGTCGATCTAAAAGGCTACACAATATCCAAGGCAAATTGGTCAGAGGTTTTCACGTCTTCACCGAGAAACAAGCTAGTAACTTACAACTAGTTCCCTTACTCGAGTAGCGATAGTAACATTGAGTAAGCAGGCAAGCTGTCGCCCCGCCGCTCCGTGCCAAGCAACATACGTATCATCTCTTAACGTTATATACATTTATATACTCCGTGTTGAACCAGATCGACGCTAAATCAATGGCGATGATATACTATAAAATACAAAAGACCCTCTCGCTCGCACCGCGTCCAAAGCCCCGCGTATCATCCCCTCAATCGCCCCTCGGCCCGCCAAAATTCAAACTCGACAGCGCAAGTGACGGCGGACCGCAAATACCCGAGAGACTCGCAATCCCACGTAGCGATACCATTTGTGCCGTACCATACGATCGGTACGATACCACTTGAGCCAAAAACATCACAGAAGCGATTTGTGTCCGACACACAATAAATCCGCGGTCCGGCGCCCTCTACCGCTTATCGGTTCCCTTTTAAAAAAATATAAAACGCTATCAAGTCGTGATACATTACTGATATATATATACCGCGTGCCGGTCAAACGCTGAGGCACTTCCGATGTTAACAAGTCACCGACTGTTAAGTTCATTGTGCACACTTTTGAGATCATAACATGGAAGTGATAGGGTGGATACGGAATTTCGACGTGGACTAGAAGACATTGCGGCCAAAACGGCGGCACCGGGTGATTAATCGCGACAATTTCAGTGTCGCCCATATTGCCTTTGTTCATATGTATACTATATATATTAAATAGCAAAAAAAAAATAGGATATTATAGTGTACGTTTTACGTTAGAAGAATTAAACCAAAGTTCAATACACCCGACATGCCGCATTCGCCCCGGCGCCACGCGTATACCTATATATATACCTCACATCCCACACAATCGCTAAACCCCACAAAACGCCCGAAGGGACGACAAAACCGCTGCGATTAGCCGCAACAGGGTTAACAGCCTAGCGTAAAGGCGATTAGTAAATGTTAAGAACGTGTGATAAACTTAAATTTAGATTATACCTCCCTAAAAAATACTGTTGCGTATGTTAGATATTAAAAATAATGATATAAGACTATGACTAACGATTAGGAATAGTACTAACAGCCCTTGCAACCCCATATTCCACGCACTTCCACCGCCGGTCAGTTCTTTACCGTTTCCCGCGCAATCAAACTCCTCGCCCACGCGCCATACGACAATACCCCTCAGTCACTATTTTACCTAAATTCGTTTCGGTTACCGTTTCACTATCGAATACATCAGAAGAAAGCTCCAAATCGAAATAGACTTGTGAAGATCGCAAATTTCACGCGGAAAACAATCCAGTAAAGAAGATGAACAAATCCGTTGTAAATATGTTAATTCATATTATAGGCCATTGTTATAAGTCCGAATAAACTTTATACCGATAGTAACAACATTTGTGAAAACGGAAATACATTATAACATTTAAACCATGCCAATTAATGGTATGCGACAGTCATATTTTCTAACGATGCCCCTCCGATATACAGAGAGTGAATTAATAGCATAATATACAACGAAAGAATATTCCACGACTTCCCGCCAACCTAAGGGCCACAACACACTCGCGGCTTAGGTGCAAGTTTTAAAATAGAATGTCTCGTAAGTGATCAAGTTAAATTCCTAAAGATATAGTAAATGCTCACTAGTGCATTACTGGCCTTATGCCGAAATCGTGGGCCGTTGTCACCAAAAGTGAATATTGTTGATTGCAAGTTAATCTGCTTCCTGAGGAAAATAAATCCGTTGCCAAAATGTCCCCTTGATTTCGATGACATAGTCGCTAAGGAATAGTGCCGTGTTATGCTTACTTAACCATTTTCATTACGGTACAAATGCAAGTTATATAAAATCAATAAGAAATAATAGGAACATTGAGATCAAGGCTAAACAAAAAAAAAAAAAAAAAAAAAACTTAGAAAAGTAACATAATTTCAGTCTCGCATCCGTCACACACACAGCACGATTCCCTACGGGCGCGATGAAGTCGACCGTGCGCCAACGCTGGTTGTCAGCTGCCTTCAAAGATTTAGCACAGCCCTGCGTTACAATGCCAGTAACAGGTGTTGATCGAAGTATCAATAGTGATGAGCATTATTGTTGAGTGAACGACTCCGCCGTGAGTTGCTCGATGGAGTGCGCGTGCCCCCCGACGATGTCGTTACTGGTGGTGGTGGTGGTGGAAGCCGGCCAGTGGCCGAGCGGCAGGTAGCGGTGAGGCCGTGAGGCCGTGGCGCGGTGGCGGCGGCGGCGGCGGCGGGGGGCGGTGCGGCGGCGGCGGGGGCGGGGGCGGGGCGCGGGGGCGCACCTATCCCTGGGTGGGCGCCGGCTCGCTCTCGGCGCGCGCGCACTTGTTCTGCCGCACCAGCTCGGCGCGCCGCTCCTGTCAAATCAAACGCCGGACTCCATTGTTTTAAAACATTCTTTTTTATTAATTCGTGAAATTCTTTACTGCCAGTGCGAGTTGTAATTTTTTTTTGTATTCATGTTGCTTGAAAAGACGTTTTAATTTGTTTTTTTTAATTTATTGAGATTTTTCAAGACAAGAAATAAAATACCTGTCAATATGGTTTTGGTTTATATTAAATATGGTACAACATACAACATGTCACAATAATGCAGAGTGCCAGAAGATGCTACGAATTAAACTATGCCTATATTATATTAACTAAACAGCTATACACTATGCTAATACACGATGAAATTAAATGATCTATCTACGATGCTTTTCGCGCGTAGACAAATATAAAAAAAAAAAAAAAGCCGAACGTCCATCGCCCGTTGTCCCGTGTTGCCATATACAAACCTCCTTTTTGACAAAGTCCAGTTTCTTCTGTATCTCCTTCTCCCTATTCTGCTCGGCGGCGGTCAGTTTGGTCTCGATGTCTTTCGTGATCTCCTCCATTTTGGCCGTGATGACCGAGCGCACTTCCGCTAGCTTATTGTTCTGCGATCGGCGATGGTTACGTACCAAAATAAAACAAATGAAACGAAACAAAAATAACATGACATGCATGGATAGATTTAAGGCCCATTTACATGGTGCCAGTTTCTTGCCTGTTGTATACAATTAAATTGAAGCAATAAATGAGTTGCATGGTCTAAACAAGAAATGGTCTAAACAATTATTGCGCGCAATTTATTGCATTCAATTATTGCTCTTGTATGTTCAAGAAAATGGCATCGTGTAAATGGGCCTTTAATGGTGAAACAAAAATGGAATGAGCATGCTCCGCCAATCATTTGTATAGGGTGTAATGAGACAAATATAAAATGAAATTGCTCATCTACATGATTTTTTTTTCAAATATTTGATTTTTTTTACTGCTCCGACATTGGTCCAGTGAATGAGATTAGATTAGATCGTCTGAATTCTGTAGGGTTTCGATCAAATTACGCATCGTCGCTCTGTCGAGTCTCCTGTCTTCATTGTGAGATTTAACGAGTCATTTCATGTAATTGAATCTGATTATGTTAACCAACGCCCGGAACTACTACATGAATGTACAATTTTAAATTTTTATGAAAATGTTTGCATTTCAATTATACATATTTTCTATATTTTTACTCAATGTATAACCAGTTATTAGTTTGTCAATTGGCATCATTAACAGGCGTTAATAAAAACAAAAAAATATCAATAACATAAAAGTGTAACGATAATCAATATGTATTACTATGATAAATCAAACGATGACAGACTAGGATGATCTAACTATTGTTGAGAGTACTAACAGTTTCTACGAATATGTTTAACATTCATAAGGTTAAGTGGTGCACATGGGTTTGGATTTAGTCTTGGCCTGGATGCGCTACCACCTCGTACCGCTCGAAGCTATCTTCGGCATCGAAAAAATAAACTCTGTATCCATCTCTATTTCGGCAGGGACTTAATGCCTCAATGCGCAAACTTCTGCATCGAAAAACTGAACTCTTCATCCATCTATATTGCGGCAGGGGCTTCATCGTCACCATCATCATCATTTCAGGCTGTTTGAGTCCACTGCTGAACATAGGCCTCCCCCATAGACTCCCATGAAGTTCGCTCCTGAGCCACCTGCGTCCATCGACTTCCCGCACATTTGCACAGGTCGTATTTGGCAGGGGCTTAATGCCTGAATACGCCTTCTGCATCGAAAAACTGAAATCTTTCTCCATGTCCATTTCGGCACAGTGTTAATGCCTCAACAAGCCATCCTCTGCATCTAAAAGTGAATTCTTCTTCCATCTCTATTTAGTCAGAGGAATGAACAACTAAACTCATTCTCCATCTCTATTTCGGCGGAGGATTAATGGCAACGAGCGAGTGTAACTCACGTGGTTGCGCAGTTTCTCCTTCTGCTCGGCCTCGAGCAGGAGCCTGCGGTCGGCGGCCTGCTGCAGCTTCTCCTGGATGGCGCTCTCCAGCTGCTGGAACTTCTCCTGGTTGCCGGCGCGCACCTTGCGCACCTGCTCCTCCTGTTATGGAAACGCTCCGAGTGGCGGATTCATTCTAGATTATAATATACTAGCTGTTAACCGCGGCTTCACCCGCGCGGCCAGAGGGAATTAACAATGAGTTTTTTATAATACACTACTTAGTTGACACTTATCATTACCTACATTTTGTACAATTCACACAATATATATTATAGCCTATGTGTTATTCTCATGTATAAGCTATATTATTGTAAAGTTTAATTAGAATCCATTCAGTAGTATTTGCGTGAAAGGGTAACAAACATCCATCCATACATACATACAAACCTTCGCGTTTATAATGTTACTAGCTGCTGCCTACGACTACGTCTGCGTAGAATAGGCTGAAGGTCCTATGGATGGATCCATACTTACAAACTTTCGCCTTTATAAGTAAGGATATTAAGGAAGTAATGATGTACATACGGTCCAATGTCAATCAACTTATGAGTTTCATATTCATTATTGAAGATTGGTACAATTCTGAAATTGTTGGAATTTTTTTGTATGGACACAGTTCAGCGGCAGTTTTTAACAGTAACAAGTATTATTGACGATTGTAGATTCTTGGATTTCTGAAACCGGGGAAATTGTACGTTTATTGTACACATACGGTTCAATGAAAAGTGTTAAAAATGTTAAGTATTAACATTCGTGTGGTCACATGTCATGTCGCATGGTCACAGGGATAAGCTCTATACAACGACAGCAATTGTTCTCACGTGTTCGCGCAGGCGCTCCAGCATCTTCTTGATGTTCTCGTCGCGTTTGTCGGCGGCGGTGTTCATCTTCTCCTCGATAGCCTTGTACACCTCGGCGGTCTGCTGCTCCAGCGACAGCCTGCAGACGGCAGGAAACGGTAGGGAATGAACTGAGATAGAGTGATAAGTATGGACGGGTGTAAGTTATACTGTGGTCGAGTGTTTAACCGTACTGAATTTGTGCTGACAAGACGCAGGCGTAATCACTGACGACATCGTCGCCACTGTCAAATATTATTGCAGAATACAGAGCTCCCTCAGATATTAAAGCATATGGCGAAAAAAGGTGAAGGTATATTTACACCGTCCATCGCAAAGAGGTATATAATGACAGACGCTTAAGGACTAAGAGAGGACGAGCTTTCTAAAGAGTTTGGGTTCAAGTATTCCTTTCAGACCGTATAGGATGATAAAAGCGATCCATGCTAAGTATAGAGTATTTATGTATAAACACTGACATACATAATTATGTCCCGTTACCATGGGCTCTGTAAAGCGTTCGAAACGTCCGTTATTAAAACCAAAACTAAAGACTACATTATGTAACAGTTTTTGACAACTATTTCTCGCGATACGGGGTGAATGACCGGAACAAGTCAGAGTATCACTCGTCTAGATCAGCTGGAATTATTCAGAGCTGTTTCGGCGACGACACAGGTGCAAAGGCGCGAACGAACGGGCCGGCGCCCCCACCGGAAGTCGGTCAAGAGCGAGAGGCGGAGATTGTGCCGCCGGCTCTGGCGCCCCACCCGCTCTATGACAGACACTCTGCTCTGCATAATAGAACGGGAACGGTGCAAGGTGCCTCTTCGCACGCTAAATTTAGCCCGCGGGGAAAAGACCTATCTAATGCACGCTATAGACACGGATGCTTTGGAAATAGAAAAGAACACGTGGAGAAAGCGGCGCTTAAATTGTCTGTGATGATTGAAAGGTCAGGGTCATTTTTGACTTGTGAATATGTTGTATAAAAATACATTTATAGAGAAAACAACTCTGTAAAAGTAATAATCTAAAACCGGTTAGTACGTCAATATTAACTTACTTGATCAAAGATAATAATGATCTATAGATTAAATGGTGTTTGCTTTATTTATTTTTTAATTACTAACGTTTTGAATAGCGTAAACCAATAGCGTTCATGGTCACGGCTCACGTAAAATAATTTTATTTAACCTTGTGTAGTCACTACATAGTATAAAACAAAGTCGTCCCGCTGTCTGACTGTCCCTATGTATGATTAGATCTTTGAAACTATGCAACGGATCTTGATGCGGTTTTTTTTTACTAGATAGAGTGATTCAAGAGGAATGTTTATATGTATAATACATTGCATCCGTGTGAAGCCGGGGTTAGTCGCTAGTATACGGATAAATAGAAGTAATCATTATGAAGACACGAAAAGTCTAAATCGATGATGTACGAGTAATAAAAAATAATTACCTATGTTATTCCATAAAATGTAATCCCCAGAAGTCTTAGGGAGATGAAATGGGAGTTGAGAATTAGTCGTAATAAAGGTACAACTTAGATTTCATTACATGAATTCCGAAGTTGAAAGTTTTAATTAGTCGCATTCATTAGACATATATAATAATATAAGGAACGGGCCTAATACAGAAGGTACGCTTACTTGTAGAACATTTCTCATTTTAACTTAACCGCTGAAATTTTAAAGATAATAGGTACGAGTAAATTTTAAAGGAACAAGCATTTCACCTACCGTGTACAGGACCGGATTTTTTGGGCGTTTTACTTTAACCTATAGTACTGTGTACAAACATGATTCAATTAAATATTAACAGAAATCAATAGAAGATAGTTTGGGGCAAGGGGCCTCCACTCCTGTGTTGCCCCGGCACCTCCAGGCCTCTAAATCTGGCCCTGGGTGTATGTGTTCACCGTTGCTCTAACACAGGCTATGAAAATCTTTTGACGAGGATAACCCTTTTCATCGTGGATTATCTTATCTGGTGCTATCGTACAATTATTATATCTATGTATCAGTCGGAAGTCAAAAATATGTTAGTGTTCCTCCGTATCTCCTTTTCTGTAGGATGTCATTGCAAGGAATTGCAAGGAATGTCCAAAAAATTATTAATTATTACTATAATAATTATTAATCAATATTTAATTATTTTTATGAGGGCGTTAGATATTTTGAAAACTTATATTTTGAAAGCTAGCCTCGGTTGGCTCAGTCGCCAGACGAAACTCGAAAGTATAATCAATACTTCCACTCCACACCGCTCTTCTGTTCCCTCGACGAGCCTGCTGCGTGGACCTACGTGATATCGAGTACTTTGGTCAGTTTACCTTTTTTTTTAATACAAAACTGGCCAGCACTTGAATGCCATCCCACCTGATGGTGAGTGGCGATACAGGCTTTTTTTATGTGAAAAAGTGGCACACGAGCTGGCGGTTCACCTGATGTTAATGAAGCGATAACCGCCGCCCGCGGACATTTGCAACACCGGTTGCAGATGTGTTGCCACCTTTGAAAAGCCTACTAACTTCACGCCGGTCTTCTATGAGGTCGTGGTACTAATCCGGACGGACCTGCCCGTTCGTGCAACAGCGTATGCTGTTGCGTGGTCCTACCACAGTTAAGAAGCCTTTGATGGTAAGCGCGCTAGCTCAGTAAAAAACTTTTGTTAAAAATAAATCGAAATATCGAATGGCAACACTGCCACGGGCTATAAAACGAGCAGCGCTCATCATGTTCGTTCAGTTTTTTCGTCGGTCGTCGTAGCGTGCTGAAGCTCTACCCGAATTAATGACGATTGTGTCGGTCATTCAGAATTATACTGGCCAATAAGTTCTTTTTAAACAATCAGTTATCGTTTCTATTTCTAACACTATTAACTCTCGCCTTGAAGACGCCTTCGTTGTAGTGACGTACCCTACACTTACCTGGTCTTCTCGACGCCCTCGAGATGGTCCTTGAGGCGTGCGCGCAACTCGTTGATGTACGCCTCGCGCTTCTCCTCGTGCGAGTCCATCTTGGCGTCGAGCGCCTCCTTGGTGGTGCAGATGAAGTTGTTGGTCTGCTCGCTGCGGATGCGCGACGCCTCCTCGATCTTGGCCATCTTCTGCGCGATCGCCGCCATCTTGCTCGCCTCGAGGCTCTAAAATGGCGGCGCGGATTTCCGTCGTGACGTCAACAAGCGTAGAGAGGTTTTCGATGACGACATAGTTATCGAAAGGTAAACCACGTCAATTAAAATTTTATTACAATTTGATTGTAAGTGCTATGAAGTTGTTATTATTAAATAATTATAATGTTTAAAGATGTTTTTGGTTTTCAAGTTATTTACGTCAAGCAGTGTGCATTTTTTGGAGTTTTTATGAGCGTAATATTCTCGGTGCAGTTTCAATAGACTGTTATTATTTCTACTTTGTTACATTTGATTTAAATAAATGAGAGGTTTTGAGGGACGTAATAACGAACTCTAAGATATTAATTATTGGACACGTTTCTGTCTGGGTGGATGCGGCAGAAAAAAAAAACTGAAAGACCTTGCATCGCTTGGCCCGAAGCGGCGTTCCGCAGTCGCAATTTAGTAGCAACGAATACAAGAGCCGGAGGGGTTTATGAAAATATATACCTTTAGGCTTTCTTTTGGCATTTTTAACATTGAGCTATCTTTTACAGCAGAAATTTAAAGCTAAACCGTAAATAAAAGGCAACAATACTAAACCACAGATGTTTTTCATAATGAAACGAAATGTTTTACTTCAATCGAAAATAAAAAAAAACACAAAAATAAGCAAAGCGATAGATTAAATATGAGTAGAGCAATTTTCATAGTTGTACGAAACCTGATTTAGTTCATTATTAATTTACTTCCATAATTTATACACATATGCGTAACCTTTTCCAACCTTGTTGGACACAAATATGTCCATAACATACTACTTTTAAAGAATAAGTTATCTGTAAGATTATAGAACGGTATACCAAATGGTTTGTCGAGCATCTGACCAGAATGATGATGTTGAATCATTATTACACTGTGTCCAAGTGTGGACCACTAGAGTTAAGAGTTTGACTATAGACGAAACAAACGACACTCCACTGCTTTATGCTGTGAGGTTAACAGCTCACATAATAATAGAGGTCCTCTAGCAGAAGGTGCGTCAAGCGGACGAGGCCCTAGAGGCATACTTGAGGCTCTAAGTGACACCTCGAGCCCTGTACCCTGTGATATGTAAAGCGATCAAACAAATGTGATTTGTTTTCTTAATTGAATTTCCGCGCTTGTGTGGGAGAATACGACTTGTACACAGTGAAATATATACATACTTTTAGTGAAATAAGTAGTTAAGTTTTGATGCAATGATCAGAAATTGACATATCCATGTTTAGTCAAAAAGTAATTTCTTCCAAAATACTACAATTTTTTTAAATTATACCAAAAAAAGCCGTGATAGCTCAGTGTCCGGGCGCTCGCCTTTAATTCTCCCTTAACTCGAGCAATCTGAGTTCGATCCCCGGTGCCGGCACCAATGAAGTTTTTAACTTTAAGTGCTGACTTATCACGTGCTCCGCGGTGAAGGAAAACATCGTGAGGAAACCTGCATATTTTCGAAATAATAACAAAAAAAAAATATTTCGAAGATATGTGAAGTCCGCCAATCCGCAGTGGGGCCGCGTGGTGGACTATGCCCTGATACCCTCTGTATAGAGGAGGCCTTTGCCCAACAGTGGGACATGTATAGGCTGTTACTTTACTTTACTTTACTTTACCAAAAAAAGCAAAATTGGTGCGAAACTAACTTAGGGTAGTTTTAATTTTCCACCACAAAATTTTTCATCACAAAACATTCTGATTATAATTGATGATATTTTTTATTGCATATTGAAAAAAAAAATACTTTTTTATCGCATCTTTTACGGTCATAACCCAACCTAAGACTATGTATATTCCGCTACGCTGTGAAGCTATAACAGATGAAGTTAGGTACTTACACGTCTCCTCTCTTCGGCGGCCTTCAGCTTCTCCTGGATCTCCTCAACGGAGGGAGTCTTCTCGGGGGAGTCGGCGCGGCGCGGCGCCGGCACCCCCACCGGCTCAGCGAGGATCACCTCGTAGGCCAGACCGCCCTTCGACATCTCCTGGCAGCGGATCTCGGTAGCTGGCGGCGAATCGCAATCCATTAAAATGCGACCAAAATAATTATGCAATGCGGCCAGGTCTGATGACGGCCTTGGCTGCTGGCTCTATTTTGATAACTACCAAACAATTTTTTATATCTGGGAAAGGTTTTGATGGGAACCTTCGATGGCGTTAGCTCTAAACCTCACAAAATGGAATGTGCAAATACACATTCCATTTGTTTACGTAAACATAAGAATAGACGTTTATTTTTTTTTAATAATCAATTTATATTTTTGTTTATGTCTGAAGAATTATATGAATATTATTAAACTTTAAAATTTACAACAACTAGCGAATTCCATTTTTCGATATTAGAAAAGAGGCACGTGATTTCTTTAATATAAAAATATTAAATCGCGACGAATTCCAGAATGGAAGGATACCCTTCAAAACAAAAATCTTACTTTTCTAAAAATAGAATAATATGTAATAATGAAAATAAAATAATATGTAATTATATATATAAATAATATGTAGTATATTATTTTTAAATGGGAGGAAAATATTTGTCATTTAAGTGTACTTAATTTGTGTCCTTATATTTAAACTAACCTGCTACTAATTTTCATGAAATCTCATTCTTAAATATTTTATACAACTAGTCAATTTCGGAGTAGATAAGAACAGTTTTCGTCCTCATTTAATCGAAATAAGCCACTATTATATTATCAGACATGTTTGAATAGTAACTTTATTTTATAATGGCACTGTAGAAAATTTATATAACGACATTTAAAGCTGTGAAAGATAGAGCACGGTACCGTTTTGCAGTTAATATTTAACACAAATTACTTAAAATGGGCTAGAATAAACGTGACCTTTTTATTATTTTTGTTATTAGTGCCTGAAAGTATCGAGAATAAAGATGCCACTTAAACAGCGACATGATCCTAATTTGCTTCTATAATGCTTTCAACATAATAATGTATATGTAATTTTAGGTTGTTGCTTTTTGAATGCTTTCAAAATAATAATTATATTTAATCTTCGCTATATTTACACATTTTCTATCGACCAGAAAACTAACGGTAACATTGGTCATCTTAGCGTTAAAAACAAACACGCGAGTAAAATAAATTTATTTCGCGCGTTATTTACAGACCTCACACTGTTCACAGAACTGTTGGGTTTTAATTTACATTCGTGTACGTTACGAACAACCACTTCACTTCGTGAGCATACACGAGGGGAAACGAGTGTATCGGAGTGTCGCCAAGGGCGTAGAGGGCGTGCGCGACGCAAAAAGAAATCGGAGAACAACCGATATCACAAATAGTGCCGGTTGTGTTAGTCTCGCCGGAAAGGGTTCAAAGGCACTTGAGCACGGAAACGACGACTTATAGCTTACTGTGCGAATATTTGAACAGGGGGTGGCGATTTAAATCACGCTTATTTTCCGTTGCCACGGCATTACACCAGTGACTTGTTTTATTAATTTAATTAATGAATTTTAATCATGCAAAATGGAAACGGTGCAATATCGCGGTTCATAGGTTTGATACCCTCACTGCACAAGCATTCATATGGCATATAGGTCAGTCAATAAATCTATATACATTCTTAATTTATGGTTGTACATCGCATCATATTCGATATATAATAGAGAAAATGAAAAAAATAAAATAAATGTACGAACACAAAGTGGCTAACTGATTCTTTAATTTAACACATCACAACACACTAATAATTGCTGGTTCAGGAAAATGTTGTGTAATACGTGAATGTTAATTAAACATAACATACCTAACGTGTTATTAATAAAACCTTTAAAACCTTCGTTGTATAAAAGAGTTAATATCGTCAAATAATTTACTAGAGACATAATTTAATAAAGCTCACTTAAAAGCTTGTAGCGTCACTTATCTTCATGAATATCTCGGCACGCATTAAATTAACCCACAAAGCAATTAACGCACCGTAGGGTAAGAGTAATAAGAGGGGCGTTTAATTAAACTACGGTTATCGTTGGGTCAAAAAGTCAAATAAAAGAAAAGGGAGTCCGTTAATCGCAAAGTCGTGGAGTTGCGAGGCCGCGGCGGTAAACAAAGGTGCGAAAACTACTGTCGAATTATCACCCTCCCAGGACCCTGGGGCGTGACTCACTGAGTTATTGCGCCACTGTGTCCTCGGTATGCGAGATAATAAAAGCACACCCTTTATGTGGAGAAATTAAAAGGTGTTTGTTGTCAAGTTTCTCTTAGTTGGAGATGTGGATGCTTCATTTGGGCGTCGAATTTACACAAAGGATTTATTGCTTTATTGCTTGATATAAAGTTATAATCACCCATGGACATTTGCAAAACGCGTGGGGTTGTAGATGCGTTGCCAGCTCTTAATAAAATGGAACCGGCTACCTCACTATATAGGCGAAACTTAGACGTATAACAAACACTTCACGCTGGTCTTCTGCGAAATCGTGGTACTTTCCCGGACAGACTTGCCCTTTCACGCAACAGCGAAGACTATATCGTGGCCCAACCATAGTTCAGTTTGGACTAAGTTTATTGAGGGATACTTAGCATAAAATGACATTTTATTTTATATTTATCTACTATTTTAATTATACAGTTTAAAAACAAAGCGTAATGTACAGCATTCCTCATCAAAATAAGTATTTGTATATTGCAAAGTATAAAAAATGCAGGCGAGTGCGTCTCAAATGTCCTGTGTATTAGTTAAACGAAAACTATAGACAATGAATAAAAATAATATATGGACATATACAAGAAATGCAACAAAATGTATTCAAAACGACATAGTGGCAAGAGAAAAAAAATAAAAATTAAAAAACTCCGACAATGCTAAAAGAACCGACCGAATTACATGGCCAAAACTCTCTACAAAGTGATCATTACAATAAAATTCCAAAGTAAAAATCATAATAATGTGCGGAAAAAACCAAACAAGCTGGAAACCGAAAAGAAGCGAAGGTTTCCACCACTAGAGCGCTTCCGGGCACTTACTGATGAATTTGACCTTCTTGGGCTGCTTGGTCCTTGGCTTGCCGACGGGTTTCTTGACGGGCGCCGACCGCCGGTGGGCTAAGGACAGAGTGCAAGGTCAAACCGGTGCCAATCGGGCGGCGCCGTGCCCTCACCTGAAGACTACTACCCACTGGCTTTTGAATACTTACTGTTGAGCGAGCGAGTCGCATAGCCTCAGTGTCATGTTTGCCTGGTCACTTGATGGAAAATCCATCGATAAATGAAACTCGAACATCGATCCATACATAAACACTTTCGTCTTTATAATATTAGCAAGGAAGTAAGGAATTTTTAGAGTGGAAAGAAATGTTTGGGGTGGACCACCCTTAACATTTATGGATGAAAAATAGATGTGGTCCGATTCTCCACTCTGGCCGATATGCACACAAAATTACACGAAAATCGGTACAGCCGTTTCGGAGGAGTTCAATTACAAATACCGTGACACGACAATTTTATATATTAGATATATAAACAACATATCTCAACAAAACATATTATATGAAAAAAAAAACTAACACTGAAAACCTATGCGAAAAGTAAAATATTGGGAATGCTTTGACAAAAGGAAAACACGAACGGTAATGTATGATAGGGGGGAGGCCGGCGGCAGACATTAAAATGCCGGTTTTGAATCAAAAGATTTTTTTTATTTTTCCACGCATAGAGTAGTCGCATATGTTTAGATTTTAAAAAACCGTACAAACGTACGTCGTTTCGCATGTCACACCTTTAGCCGAAATTAAAACTGCAAGTATAATCGAAGAGTTCTGATTGCGCTTATAGGCTTTACTAGTAGTCTGATCCACTTGCACGCATAGTCGGGTCAAATAAATAAATGATGAGTTTATAAACGCCAACGAGTTCGCCAAACTTCATTAGTAGTGATAACATGCTTATCTGTGACCTAGTTGGAAAATTCCGGAACATTATTGTTTAATTGTTTTAATTTTTATTTTAATACTTCAGTTTAACTTAAAATTTACTCAAACGTATAAAGCGCGCTCTCATTTCCCAGTCTAAGTCTTATGTGAAAGCCTTTGTCCCTGTAGTAGTTATAACAATCGGTCCATTTTGCGACCCTTTTATAATAGAAGTTCGAACTTAAATGTTCAATGATATCTTCGTTCTAATCGGATATTATAAAATCTTTCATAATTTCAATTTGAAGTTTTTAATAAAAAATAAACCATAAAAATTACTGAGAAACTAATCTACAATTTATATTGACAATATTGACATAAGCTTTATTTAACTTAATGTGAAAAAGTTAGAAAACTTAATGTTAAAAACACAACAACCGAGTTAAACGATATATCGACATCGGAAAGGGATTAATATCTAATTGACATGACCGACGTCCGATTCCGGTTGTTCGTTGGCGGGTTAACCGTATTAGGGTGGTCGCGCGATGGCGCCGAGTATCGATTTTGGCGGGGTCGACGCAGCGCGATGTCGCAGTCGCTTAGGCCGTTATGTTAATTGCGGGTCTGCGCTCCTGGTATCGCTGCGGTGCATGCATACGATGCGGCGACATGCACGGCCAGGCCGGTTGGCTTTTCAGTCGATGAATATTTTAGCGATCTGTCGATACAAGAGTCGAGCCAATTTCAAGCACAAAAATCCATTTTGAATTCAAGAATGTTACGCAAATCGGTAAAATATTCAATATGTCAATAATGATATACTGATGTAAACCTACTAAGAACTAGCTCTCTCAATATCACAAAGGGTGCGCACGAAACGTCTTCTAACATTACTAAAGATTTATACTTTTTCTAACAAGACAAACGTGTCATATCACAACTAGTAGAATGTTCGCGGATCCTGTAGCCGTGTAACCACCCAACCTTGCTCAGGAGTGGCAAGTGATTCCGTACAGAATACAGATCCGTCGGATCACGTAAGCGACGTCGCCGGCAATAGACCGTGGGCGGGTAATAAGGAGACGGCACGACAGCCCGAGGGGGGAGACCGCACGTGAGGCGAATGCCTAGGCGGCGTAGCGCGCCCCCTCCGACCAGGATAATCCCTCACGGCGAAGACCGCGAGACACTTTAATTTGAAAAGCGAACCCTTGATTAGTTGGGCGACTGAATTTACTAATATGCAGTAATACAGCTCAATGCTTGCATAACGAAACGACGAGGTACACATGGAATAAAGATGTCTGAACTGACTCATCCAAATTGGACATCTTGACCGCAGCAAAACTAAGTGTAACTATTTTGCGAAAAAATTTTTCTTTCTATGATTTTGAAAACGTCGCCGATTACATAGATCGAAGCGGCTTAGTCCAGTAATCAGAATATTTTAAAACATAGTAACTGGAAGTTATTAATTTATTACAAAATTATAGAATGTCAAAGGATTTCGTAATACAACAAACATTGACAACTTAAAGCACATTATTAAAAAACTAATCGATTAAAGGAGCCGAGTGTTACGTGATTGTATTACGGACCTGACGCTACGGTCGATGCGGGTATGATGCGGCTTTGAAATGTGAAAACTGAAAAAGTATACAGAAAAACAAAAAAAAAGGAGAAGGTATAGATGTAAAAGATCAGGAATGCATATCATTTGCCAAGAACATAGCTGCGGTATAATCTAAAAAATAATATTCATATAATGACGGGACAATGACAAATGGGAAAAATGTATAAACTTAGGGATCAAAGGGGAAAATAAAGTGAAGTTACTTAAAGAATTTGAAAAAGTCATCGCGAGACAAACACGCGTTGGAGAAAATCGATTATAAATATTTAAAAAGGTTGAAACACGGAGGGAGGGGTTGACCCTACGGCGCCACACGGTAAAAGCATGAAAACTGATAATATATTTAAAGTCCGGCATTAAAGCGCGCGAGGGGAGGGCCCGAAGGAGAATTTACAACTGCTGGGAATATGAGCGCAGCCATGTGAGAGTTTTAAATGCGGCGCAAATGTAACCTCCGCGCCGAACATAATGGAGAGTACCGCAACGAATAGAAGGTTCTAGAGACAGAACGCTATTCAGGGTTGGCACCTTCGCATTTCAAGTGTTGTTTTAATAGTGAACCTCTACCGTATAACTAACCTCTAGCATAAGTCAAATGTTTCATAGGTTAAATGTATTAATCACACGAGGTGCTCCATATGCAAAAGTATTTAAATAGAATTACGTTTAAATATGTCTTTTGCAATGTATGGTTTTTCGCAGCCCTGGTTGGCGAACATTAAACGAGGCACCCTCATTAGCGAGATGGAAGTCTAGTTTGAAATTTTAATTAAAATGTATACGGCGACGTTCGCGAATCCTTTTACCCGTCCATTATTTCATGCGAATTTAAAGACTGCACATCTGACGCCATTGTTTCTGGGAGCAGATTCAAATTTGCTCCGTTTAACTCTTCGAATATAGTTAGGAAAGAGGATTTTATTTTTCACAACCGTTATTAATGGACCGTTATATTTGTACTCCGACGACCCATACTTTGATTCTACCGATAGCGTTTTTCAAGTACATCGCAGCACGCGACACAAGCGTCCGCAATGCATCACCGCGACAACTAACCCACCGAAACAAATTCCTGCTAGAGAAAGAAACGAATATTCCGTTTTAAATAAAATCATTTAGAGCTCAAGATAACAAGAGCTATAAGCCTGATTAAGGGTTTACGTGCGTTGTTTATATGAAGTATAAAAATTTGTGGGAAAAGTTATAGGCGTAAATGTCAACAAATAATTGAATGTGAGAACCTTAAGAGTGTTTGCTACTTATTAGGGGATTGTTATGCAAATAATCGAGATAACAAGCGTCAATGGGCGTTGTCAATCGTATTGCAACGGAAGGCCCCTCTCGAAAATGATCCAAAAGGGGTGCTAAACTTGTTGAGTCAATTAAATTGCGACGTCGTAATTCCACCCCAAGCAATTATGTTCCCCCATGTGCTAAACCGTGGTACAGACAAATCTGTGAACAATAAATATTCTTTAATGCAGACGCGACAAATGACGAAATTAGATAATTTAATTTCATGGTCGTAAACAGCACCCTCAAAGATATAATGTGCGGGGTTACATTCTCATAACGAAAATGTTAATTACGCTATATCTTTGTCGAGCTGCCATCCCAAAACCTTGTAATACGTGCACGCGACGACGACATTAAACTCCAAGTTATTATGAAGTGGCAAAGGAATACATTTAGACATTTCTTCGAGAACGTTTTGAAATGTTGCATATATTTAGGGTTCCATTCTATTTCTAGTGCAAATCTGTAGGTAATCAAGATGACATTTAAATTTTAGTTAAAATTTAAAATTCAAAATTCTTTAATTTTTTCATTCATTTATTTGATGAAGTTTAAAATTCAATCCCGACAGAAGCGTAAAATTTTTCCGACAAAAATGAGTTGCACATCTTATCGAATTGAAAAGGAATGAAATAATTTTAATAATCTGTGACGTAATCTACTCAAATCAAAAAAGAAGCATGGTAACATTCAAGTGCTCAAAATGGTGGACGCGTATGCTTCGTTCGGTACAAAATGGTTGACATTATGCAGAACTACCTAAATCAATATGTCTGGCGCAGACAGAGCCTCGCCTTACTGAAAGCAAAAAAAAAAAATAAAATAAAAATTAAACAAATCAAAATCTGTTTTGAAATTAATTAAGTAGAATGTAAATTCTACTCAAATACTAACAACGTAACTTATACGCTTCTTAATATACAGTGAAGAGATTATAACATAACCATTTTTTTACAAACGAAAAACAAAACCGATTTCAAACATATCGCTCTGTATTCATTTTATGATTGATTTTCAGGAATTTCCTACGTATCTCCGGAACCAAAGATCCAGTACCAATGAAATTAATATGGGACCACATGGAAAGCACCAGTTTTCAAATAAAAAGAGAATAATCGAAATCGGTTCACTCAAAAGTTCTGAGGTAACAAACATAAAAAAAAAAATACATTCGAATTGAGAAACTCCTCCTTTTAAAGTCGGTTAAAAAGTAGGGAAGAACTTCAACGGAAAGAAGTAGAGAAATGGCAATTATGTCAGACTGGCGAGCACGGATCACGTGCCGGTAGGCGCGATCGAAACGCCGGCTGGGCCACCCCCGCCCACCGCCCTACGCCGGCCGGCTTTTCTACGGCGTAATACGCTTCGGTAACGAAATTTTGTTTCATGAGATCTAAGTGAAACTAAAATAGTTATTTCCTCGTGTATCGGTCATCATACGGACCTGTTTTAGTTTGAAGTTAATATTTATTAAATACGTAGATAGTACAGACAAAAATGACACGTCGGTAGGGAGTACAAATATCTGGGAAATACTACTTGCAAGGTTACCTTCATGTTCCCGTCTCGTTGGTGCTGTAAGCAATGGATGGTTAGAAAGCTCTGCGTGTACAATTGAGACAAAGTTAGGATAGCAAGTCTTATCGTGGATAGGCCAGATAACCAAGAGGGCGTTCGTCTCCATAGTGAGGGCGGCGTCGCCGCTGATGTCGAGGGACTTGAGGAGAACAGAGTCCCGTCGGTGTGTTGTTTCCAACCTGCGGGTAGTACGGGCGCGCGGCATGAGTGGCAGAAGCACTGCATCACCGAGTCCCGAACGAGCCCTATCAGCATGGTGGATACTTGTAGTGGACTGTCTAACGAGTGACGGAGTCGCGGCGCGGCGCGGGCGTACTGCGCGACTCTCGCCCGGAAACTGAGCCGGTCGGGGGGAGGCGCCGGTCGATAGCAGCGCACCCCCTGCCCTGCGGCACCCCCCCGCCCCGCATCACCCCGCCACCCCTAACTTGATAACCCCGCGCAAGAAAATAAGCCTGGCAAATGGACAAATAATGTCGCCTGCGACGTCTACATAGCTCTCTCTCGGATGAGACCGAAGCACTAGATGTGTTTCGTTTCCATCAGTTTGGCGCCCAACATGAGAGACATAAGAGACAGAGAGCCATTTCAGGGCAAAAAAGTCTTTCGCTTTAGGAATATGCATTTACAAATCTTGCTTTGGGTACTGAACAGTGCAAGAAGTTCCCGGATTAGTAATAATGTTAGAAAAGTAATTGTCTAAAGATTCATTTGTTTGTAGGCGCACACCGTCGTGCCAAGCAACGGCGGGGCTCTAGGGTCGGGAAGACAAACTAATTTAAGAGCCACCTAGACGCGTGCGAGTCCCGACGGGCTTCTCGCTCATAAAAACGGCCCGGCCGGTTGGGCGGACGGAGGCCGGGGGCGGCGGGGCCCTGCGGAGGTTACGCCGCCGTCTCGGCGCCGCCACCCGCAGCCAATTAACGGCCAGAGCCGCGTTGAATTCGTTCTACCGGTCCGAATTGCTTCCGATTGATTTAGCATCTCTAGTGCCTCTTAGAAACAGCACACAGCGGTATCGGCACCGGGGCTTATAATTACTGCTACGCGGATAACCTGAGACAAAAATCGTTAAAATGCACGTCCTGAAGTCCGCACCGGCGGATTCGTTGGTGCTTTACGTCAGAGACCCCTTTGTGGCACCGGTGACGTTACTGTGAAAATGCGGCGTCGATGCAATTCCGCCAGTTACTGCGGCTGCAGTGTTGGTGTCGTAATGTCGTGCACGGGTTCCATACGCGAGTCGGTGCGCTGCGGCGGATCGATCCCGGGCAACAACCTCGGCACCGCGTCCCCCGCTACGGTGGTCGGGAATTCCGGGGAAGTGAGCTAGGTTGGCCGGCCGCGGGAATACCGTAGCGCTCGGCGGCCGCCTGGCTGCCTACCTATGGTCGCCTTAACCGGCCGCGCCCGCCCTAGGAAAACCATGCCTAACAGATGTATGACTCACTAATTGCTACAGGTGAACATTGCAAGTTTCCTGAAGCAAGTTCAGTGAAGTTCTTTATAGCACTTTATTGACACTAGTTAATTAGGCCGAAAAAATTGTAAGATTTTCACCGACACGAAATTATCACCCTTTGCTATAGTATGTGTGTTTATTATATATAGTTTTAAATATATGCGTGTGTATTGGCTAATATTTTGATTATAATAAGTACATACCTACATAATATGTTTTAAATTTTAATTATATATCATAAAAAAATAAAATAAAAAACTAAATGTTAACACAATGCGCCGAATTTTTTATTTAACGTCTCTAAAAAATTCTTAATTTATTTATAATTATGCTTCTTATTTTTATTACATAAAATCTGACGAAATAAACTTCGTTCGAATCGAAGAGATTTTTCGTACCAAAAGAATACCATTTAAAAACCCAACACATACATAATAAGTAGTGTTGAAATTTGTTTCTTAGTTTGAAGCTTAGTTGGAAATTTCATTTCCACTTTCTTTTTACGGTAGTGAAACACAGTGGGAGGTGTGCTTGCACTTCATCGATCATATCAGGGTTATGACAAATGACGGGGCTTTATCTTACTGCGATCTGAAATCGCTGTAATAAATCAACTGTGTCACTATTTTAAGGAAAACATAATAAATTTATAGGAATAAATAAATTTGCCACATCTGAAACGGATCTTCCATTGATAAAAAGGACAACAAATTCCTTTTCGAGACTCTTATAAATACAACAATTTCATTAAGACGGAAAATGGCGCTTCATGTGGATCATCAAGATTAATAATTTCTACTTAGCCGTTTATTTAATAAAGTCTTTTAGGCCACTGCCACATCTATAGCTGTATAAAAGTATTCATTGCTCGTGTGTTTGCTTCTTTTTTAATATTTTGCATCTTTATCTAATATCTTATATATATATATATATATATATATAATCGGAATCTCGGAAACGGCTCCAGCGATTTTCATGAAATTGAGTATGTGCGTAGATTCGGGGGCGAAAAATCGATCTAGCTAGGTTTCATTTTTAGAAAATGTCCTTTCATCCCTGTTTTCAGGGAATGAAAAATATCGTTCGAATATGACAGTAAATTTCGCCGCAAAAAAATTTAATAATAGCTCGGTCGGTAATCGGGCGGCCCCAAAACAGACGGCCGCGTTTCGTATCACCATCATTTACACACTAAACAAACCATTTTAAATAAACCATTTTATTATTACTTATTTTTTTTTACTTTTTTTTCTATACTAGATCATTTTCTTAATTTTTTATTTCCAAAATACATGATTTACCAAAAAAAAAAACGAGCAAAGCTCGGTCCTCCGGGTACTTTTAACTAATTAGTTTAACTATTATGCTTTAAATTTATTATTAAAATCTTTAAAAAGAACTTTGTTCATACGGTACACAAATATTAATATGGAAATGTATTACAAGTAATAAGATTTTGATGGCTTCTAAATGTTCTTCATACTGAAATTTAAAAGGTTAAATTAATAAGGAGCCCAAATAAGCAGAGAATTACAATTATTATTACATAGTACCTAAGTGGATTATAACAGTAGTAAGCATGTAAACTAAGGCCCAAAAAACTTTTTAAATTTTTAAGAGTCTGTTTGCCCGGGTTAATCCCCGAAATGGATGAACCGATTTTGATGGGACTTTCATTGGCAGTCGGAGCTTCCAGAGAGTAATCTAGCCTAAAACAAATAACTAAAATGCAATATATGTGTTTTAGACTAGATTTTACCACACCAGTTTTGACAAATTTACGTAAAAAGATACGGTTGTCGTGAGTAATGATTCAATAAATCTTTCACTTTTACGAGCCATTCTTTACGTCGAACTGGGATATAAAACCCTGCATTGTCTGTCTCTATTTCTGCCTCATGTAAGTAACTTTAACTTTCTCAGCCAAACGTTCACCGTAGTGAATGTAATGTGATGTATAATGAAAGTAAGATCAGTGCTAAATATAGGCCAGATGCGAGCGTTCTTCCACGCTACCGGTTCCCGGCGACACGATGCCCGCATGACATGACATTCGATGACTCCGTATCGCAGTCGCCGAGGTATCGGCTTCGGCGTCGGGGGTCGTGGGTTCGATTCCCACACAGGACAACTATTCGTGTGACCCACAGATAGTTGTTTCGCATCTGGGTGTTTGTCCGCGTGAAATTTTTGTTTGTGAAACGTCCTTACGGGATGATTTTATCCTTAAGGGCAATGTTTTAAAAAAGAGTAATAATTTAAAAAAATATGTCATCAGATCAGTTGAACACATGTCGTCTTACTCGCCGCAGCGGCAACAAGTTGAGTCGCGTGGATTCGATAGGATTCTGTCGGGGACGCAACATGGAGGCAGCGGCGCGTGTACTGAGAGGGCGTATCGATCCCGTCCCGTTTCGTCGTCGGTTTGGACATCGCCGCACGATATTTTGACGGCACGGGGATAAAATATTAGTCAGACTGCCACAATTAGGGAATTAAGTTAACACACGTAAGACTTCACTACACAGTATAAAACAAAGTCGTTCCGCTGTCTGTCTGTCTTTATATGTACGCTTAGATCTTTAAAACAACGCAACGGATCTAGTTGTGTTTTTTTTACGAGATAGAGTGATTCAAGAGGAAGGTTTTTATGTATAATACATGGCACCCATGTGTAGCCGGGGTGGGTCCCTAGTCCTTAAAAAACACAAAATTACGACGGCCTTTGTATTAAATAACAGCGATGCTTTTTAGAAGTAAGAAAGATAGCAACATCTCTCATTTATTTCGTATTTGGCAATATGCTAACCTACACCTCGGCTTGTAATAAGCTAGCATCCATACGCTTGAAGTTTAATTAACTAAGATAACAGTATCATCAGATAGTAACAAAGTTCAGTGGGCAATAACACACCGATTTTTTAATTGATTAATGAGCCGAAGAGAAAAGAAGAAGTTTCCAAATCAGAGTTTCGGCATTAGTCACTCGACTAGTACTCGAAAGACCAGCGTCCTAATCCCGTGCTCTAAAGGCAAAAAGAGTACTTTCCGAAACTATGTTAATTTCTTATTTTCCAATAAAAAGAGTAGAATAAAACAATTGGACATTTCTAGAGGCCCGAAACTTCGATGGGCCAATGCGTTTTTGCCTATAAAAGTCAAAGAATAAATGAAACTGCTCAGTTAAAATCCTACTTTAGTTTATGTGACCACTAGTACAGTTAAATCACCTTAATGCTTTCTATCCAAGTACAGCCACGTTTCTAATTCAAACTCTCCCAAACGGTCTCCCATAAATGTTGCGACTCGTAAAACTGGAGGATTATGCTTTAAAATATATTTCTTTATATAAGTTTCAAAGTTCATAAACATTTTTATGACTACAAAACTAAATACAGAACACTTACACATAATGTCAAACGACGGCAAGCGTGTGTCTTTTATGATACGCACACATTTAGGCCCGGTAGTTGAGGTCCGATTTACGCTTGCAAAGCCTAACCCCAGTACTACCGGCTAGGTCCTCCGTTTTGGACTGTGTGGCCACCCTGTACACCTGTGGTTTGCCAACAATTAAGATTCGATGTGAATAAGCTAAATGAAAGTATTACAATTTATTCAAAACGTGTTTATTTCCACCAATCCCTATCAGAGTTGATGAAAAATTTTAAGTAATTTCTTAATGTATAAAGTAATATTGCATATTATCATTTTTATCTTAGCCTATTCTGACATATTAAGAAACATTATCTGTGCCCAAAAGCCATCACCATGAACACAAAACAAGACATTTTAATATATAAAAAAACCAGCAATCCTCTTATTTACGTATACCAACTTTCCTCAAATTGTATTAACATATCAATCACTTCATTTTATAGAGTGGGAATCCTCCACCAGACGAGTAACAGTTTTAATATTAACGGCCGCTTAGATTGAACTTCTTAAGCTGATATGTTTAGCGGTAGCTAAGTTCTAATTGAAATTCGTTAGCAGAACCGATGGATCGTAAAGTTCAAATATAACCGCATTAAAATTCCGCCCGTTTGGTATATCGAACAAACATGGACGAATTGTTCTAAGGCGTTCGACTGGGCGGGGCGGCTGTGTCTTTCGCAGTCCTTGTAATAATTAAGTCTCTGATCCCGTGTTAATTATGCACTTCGTAACCGGGGACAAGTTGAATAATCGGGGCCGAAAACTTGCCCCATTAGCATGGACGGGCGTCGTAACTTATTCAGCAGGTAAACATCTCCCTTTGACGTTGTGCTCGAGCCGAACGGCCGCTTTTGGACGAGGAGCGGTGAAGATGGCTGTGAGAATCACTGTGGCTGTGCTATTGTGACCCAAATAGGGCACGTGTTGAAGGAGAGTTTGCATAACAAGATTGTTTGAACAAAAGTTTTATAATCGAAACGGCATAAAGGCACGATAGCTTTAAAACGTGTGAAGATTTTGAGGACCTACCAAGTACTTTCCCTGGGTTCGCAATATTTGGTTAAGAGAGCTTTAAAAGTATCATTCTATATCCAATACGCATTCAAGGGCGCCCCGGGACCTGTCTGTACATACTTAATATGTATTATTTTGTAACAGAAGTATCAAGCTGAAGCGGATAAAGGAACAGTTATATTCTTATATTTCTGTTCACCACTTATACGATCCAGTGGACCACCAACTAACTACACATTTGGCACAAATGCGACCTTTCCACAAGAAAATTTGTATGGGGCGCGCTGTCTACCGATGCCAAGTTTATGAAGACAGTCGCAATAAATAACGCCCGAAGACAGCTCGTGTGTTCCCCACGAAAACTTCTCGGAATAGACGGCTGCCATTATCATGTGCATTAAGAGTTGTTCGTTCTTTATCCAACAATGAATAACAAAAAGGGGAACAAGACAATTTGTGAATAGCGAACGCCTATTTGCCTAAATATCTGTTCTAACATAAAGGAAAGTTCTTT